GTGATAATATTGATGTTTGGCAATGAGGTTATCCTGAATGATATCCGGAGAAGACAAACCAGATCCAGCGGGTCAGAACAAAGCCGTCAGGTCAATCCAGGGAACTTGTTGCTACCCGCCCTAGACTTCGATGGGAACAGATATCAGTTATTGAAGTAAACTCAGAGCTTAGAAGGAAAGAATGAGAAGGAAAATAAGAGATGCAAGTTGAGAGAAAGTAAGATCCAGGCCAGGAGTCAGAGGTCATACCCCTTTTAGGCAGGAAGTTGAGGGCCCAACAACTCGATCATACCTCGACGATTCTACCTACACAGTAGTTATTGTTTTTCTAAATTTGCACTACTCTTATTCAATTAGATATTAAAATAACGTGATACTCAAAATAATTACACTGGCTTCTAGTAAATATTGAATAATGTGGAGGACAGAAGAGGTATATATATTTGAAAAGAGCATCAAAAACATACCTCAAAAGACACCAAAATGGTCGAACTTCTCATCCTGTCAACTATACAAGCCCTACGAAGTACCAAGAGTATAGAGATTTTGCAACCCTTATGAAAGATGTACACAACAACCGCAAATTTATCATTCTCAAGCGATTTGGAATATCCCGAGCTCCATGGACTCTTGTCAACTCTCGGCACGGCCCGCCAAGCTCCACCCTGGAAGTCTCCAGTTTCCACCAAGTTCAAATGGCAAGGGAGCTGGGGAACCCGAATCTAGCTTAGTAGCAATAGGTAGCGGAAATGGGAGTTAGAACATCTATGTAGTACTGGAGGTTTTAGGTATCGAGGTGTTAAATTCATGCGTAACTATAATCGATTTTAAATTCTATGAAAAATTTGCATCCTGGGCATACCAGCCCTTAGCACGGTCATCTATCTATGCAAGCTGGAATGGGTGTCTCTCCAAGTACTCCTCGAAAGTGGAGAGCTTGCCCCGAGCGGCAGCAGCAGCTTCTGCAACCAACTCCTCAGAGCCAGGGCCGAAATATCCATAATCATCCATGAAGCTGAATCCCTCTGCGAACACATCCTGGAAGAAAGGCAAGCCAGCCTTGAACTCCTCAGTGGAGATCTGTTTGAAGACGATAGTCTTGCCGGAACTCTTGGCCAGAAGGGCGGTGATCTCCTCCACGGTGTATATTTTTGTGGCGCAGTGGAGTCGCTTTCCCTGGAACTTCTCAGGCTCGGCGAGAATAGCACCCACGAATTTACCAGTATCACCGACAGCGTCGATCAAGGGGAATGGAGCCTTGGGAGAGGTGTGACGGGCCAACACGTAAGTGCCATCGGCAGCTTTTGTGGGAGCCAAAAAAGTCTGTGCCTGGAGGTTCTCCATGAATGAGCCGAGAGAGACGAAAGCACTCTTGATAGAGAGAGTGCGAATGTAGTCCTCGGCGGCGGCCTTGGCATCGAAGGGGACAACGGAGGTGTATTTGCCGTTGGAGAGATCACGAATTGATGGCAGAGTGCTCCAGATGAGATAATCGACACCTTGCTCAACGGCAACGTCAGCGATGCGCTTGGCATTGCCGACCTCAACGTTGAAGGCGTCGGGGCTAATATCAGGTGTGGTCATAGCGAATACAGTGTGTACGCCGGCCAAGGCTTTCGCAAGCGAGGCGGGGTCGGTCACGTCACCATCGACAACTTCGACATCGCCTTTCTGCTTCAATTGTTGGGCCTTCTCTGAAGTAGTATCACGGGTGATGGCCCGGATTTTGAACTGTTGGGAGAGCTCTGGGTCGTTCAGCACATGGTTCAGGACAGAGCTGCCTTGTTGACCGGTGGCACCGAAAATAGCAAGTGTCTTGGACATTGTGTAGTTTTGAGGGTTTCAAATTTGGAAGAGAAACTGGTAGGCTGGTAGGCTGTAGGCTGGTAGATTGGTAGATTGGTAGATTGGTTGTAATGTTGAAGTTAGAAGTTACGAAAGGAATTACTTATATTGAAAAGAGGGGATAGGTGCTTTGAAATCGGTTGAACTAACTAAACTACATCTGTAGTTAGAGGGGATTGGTAACACCTGCGCCACAGGGATTAGAAATTTGAGAATTTCGTGGAATCGCGAGTTTCACGGGGAGCAAAGAACAAAGAAGTTAAAGCGCTGCCTATCAAGAGCCTCCCTCGCCAACCCCTCGCCAACCCCTCGCTAATCTCTCGGCGCATTAAATGTCACCTGATTGGTCAATTTATCGGCGACTTGTAACGTCAGCACTCTAGATTTTAGAACCTCATTTTGTTTTAGCGTATATTCGGCCATATTTTGGTCTTTCACAGGTTCGGCGTCAAGTTATATGCTTATCGGATAGAGATATTGCTACAGTCGTGAAAAGAATAATGTAAAATCAGTATTCAACGGCTCCGAGAAGAGCTATAGTTCTCTTTCCCCCTTTTCCTAGAAGTGTATTTCTATTGTCCAACTCTTAACACAGAGAAGTGCCCCAAATCTCGCGTATTTGCCTTCCAGTTTGAAAATCTAAGATGTCTGTCGGACAATTGATGCGTCTTTGGTGGGCGTTTGATCCACCCAGTGTTGAGAAGAGCAAAGATGCCCTCAAATTTGGTATACTGGGAGCTGCGAATTCAGCGTGAGTAAAACTAGATTGGGTAATATCTCTGTTCCAGACTGACAAATGGCAGTGGTATGACCTTGACTATTCCCGCCAAGATGCATCCCGAAGTGGTTCTCTATGCTGTGGCGGCCCGTGACCGAAAACGTGCCGAGGAGTTCGCGAAGAGCAATAGTATTCCAGTTGTTAGGGATACTTATCAGGGTTAGTGCCTAATCTCTACCTTTGATCATTCCAGCTTTTACTAACCCTACTTAAGAAATCCTCGATGATCCCAATGTTGATGTAATTCTCATTCCTCTTCCAAATGCTCTGCACTTCGAATGGGCCGTGAAGGCCATCAAAGCAGGAAAACATGTTCTTCTCGAAAAGCCCTCTGTGTCCAATTCCAAGGAAGCTGAGGTACTTTTCAACCTCCCAGAATTCGATCTTCCCAACGCACCGGTCATGCTTGAAGCCTTCCACTATCGCTTCCACCCTATCTGGTCTATCTTCCGGTCTCTAATCACTCCCGCCGATGTGGTTCACGTGGATACTTATTCCATGATCCCCTGGTGGTTCGTGACCAAGGATCACATCCACTTCAAGCACCACCTTGCGGGTGGTACCATGATGGGCATGGGAACTTACAACTTCGCTGCGCTACGTCTCATCTTCGACGCCGAGCCCGAGGAGTGCTTGGTCGCCGATACCAAAGCCTTTACCGAGGGTGTCCACCACGATTGTGACTATGAGTTTAAGACCAAATTCCGCTTCCCCAACGGCGGAATCGGTGAGGCATTTAGCACCCTGCAAGGCCCAAGTATCTGGCACCCTTCCTACGCAACGGTTACGCACCGGAAGGTTGAGGTTAAGGATAGCGGCCTTCCCGATTCCCAGCAGAAGTTTGTCACTCGTGAGGTTACAATCAATGGCTGGATTCACGCTGTCTTCTGGCACCGGATTGATATCAAGGAAACCTTTGAGATTCGCGACAAGGCCAGCAACAAGCTAATTAAGAAGTGGACCGAGAAGAAATCGCAGAAGGCCTACAAGCCCCGCGATGCTACTGGCGAGATTTCTAAGCTCAACGGTGAGGATCACTGGATGTCGTTCCGGTACCAGCTGGAGCAGTTTGTAAACCGGGTTAAGGGTCGTCCGACCCAGTACTGGGTTGACAGGCAAGACTCTCTTAACCAAATGAAGATGGTTGATATGGCATATGAGAAGAGTGGACTAGGAATTAGACCTACCTCCAAGTACATAGATCAGGTTAACTAGGCGCTCAGTTGATGAGCAGGGTTCTTGATGGACCGGGGAAATTGGCACGTGAATTTAATAAATGAAACTGGCGTTTTCTTTGAAATTATTTCATTTAATCTGTAAGATTTTTTATGCATCTCTTAGGTACCAAACGGTTCTGGGAACCTTGAAAGCATCGGAAACGACCTGGGCTGTGATACTAGGGTGCCATGTGGGAAACACGACCAAATTCTACATATGTAGGTTGCGGAGAAATTGTCATTTACTGGCTAAATTTTGACCATCTTGTCAAAGCCATGGGTAATCTGAGACGATGCTTGCCTAATCCAGTCTTCGGCTCCGAAGGCCTGGAAACGAAATTCAAAAGTCTGAATATGCACGGGTAGCTTAGCGTGAAGGTACTATAGGAAACTCAAGGTCCACGAGGGCCTGCTGTGATGACTGCATGAATAATTACGCCTAGCGTACACGAGTACACGCCAGCTACCCCAATTAGCAACCCTCACATATCAAGAAATGCCAGGTGGGTACGCCTAATATCTGCGAATCATGTAAGATTGTAATAAATATTCGCCGAAGGATACATATGTAGCTAGGCAAACTTGCTTAGCTGCATAAGTGTAGCGCTGGAGCTCTGAGAAATACGACTTTCTCCACTATAAGCCTTCGGCGGACCTCAATCCTTCATGATAAAGGTGTCGGAGGATATAATCTGACATGAAGAGCTCGTATCTGCAACACATCTTGATTTGTCAGGCATCACGCTGTGTCGGGGCCCACCACTACTCTTGAGGTCGTTGATATCGGCGGAGAGCAAGAGGGCTTATGGGGGCTGGGCTAATCTAAGTTGTTGGTCGGCGATAATCGTGATAGCTAGCAATGAATAGAGCATCTGTGCACTGCCCATAGCTTCTGTAATAATAGAGCTGGTTGCCGCTTGAACTATAGAGGAATACATCTACGGTCACTCCTATGCCATAGAGGATCAACGCTTGTCTATTGTCTCTTCCTTGTTTACCTTAAATTTCTATCACTTGATCAGGAAGAGCAATTGCATTGAACCTATACACAAAAAGACACAAACACACAAACATACAAACACACACACACACACACACACACACACACATACACATACACACAAGACACCCAATTACCAACATTAGCCATTATCTCAGCGATGCCTTCTACACAACCCGAAGCTATCGCTATTGTGGGAAGCGGTTGCCGCTTCCCCGGATCCGCAAGCTCGCCTTCAGCTTTGTGGAAGCTACTGGAGACCCCTCGCGATGTGGGCATGGAGATTCCCCCAGACCGATTCGATGCCTCGGCCTTTTTCCACCCTGATGGCAGCCATCACGGCACATCCAATGTTCTCCGGTCTTACCTGTTGGAGGAAGACGTGCGTGCGTTTGACGCAGCCTTTTTCAACATCAGCCCCAACGAGGCCGATTCGATGGATCCCCAGCAGCGTATCTTGCTGGAAACGGTGTATGAAGCTCTCGAGGCGGGAGGTCATACTGTTGAGTCCTTGCGAGGATCTGACACGGCTGTTTATGCTGGAACCATGACTGCCGACTACAATGACACCCTTACCCGTGATCACAACACCATGCCCAACTACTTCGCAACTGGCACAAATCGTGCAATCATCTCCAACCGTGTCTCATACTTCTTCGATTGGCATGGACCTAGTATGACCATTGATACGGCCTGTTCGTCCAGTCTGGTCGCCTTGCACCAGGGTGTGAGAACCCTGCGTGCCAGCGAATCGCGGGTCGCCGTGGCATGCGGTACCCAAGTGCTTCTCAACCCCGAAATGTATATCGGAGAGAGTAAGCTGACTATGCTGTCACCTAACGGCCGCTGCCGCATGTGGGATGCGGATGCGGATGGATACGCTCGTGGTGAGGGCGTGGCAGCTGTTGTATTGAAGCGACTGAGTGATGCAATTGCGGATGGAGATCACATTGAGTGTATCGTCCGCGAGACTGGAGCCAACCAGGACGGCTTTTCGAATGGTTTGACCGTTCCCAACTCGAATGCCCAGTCTGCCCTGATCCGTCAGACTTACAAGAGAGCTGGTCTGGACCCTGCGAATAACCCTCACGACCGACCACAGGTGAGTAAGAATGAATTCCCCTCGATACCGTAAATATGTGCTTGACGCAGCACGCTGACAAAAATCAACAGTTCTTCGAAGCACACGGCACTGGTACTCAGGCTGGAGATCCAAAAGAGGCTGCTGCCATCCACGAATGCTTTGGTCGACACATTACTGACTCGGAGGAACCCCTGTACGTTGGATCGATTAAGACCATCATTGGTCATCTTGAGGGCTGCGCGGGTCTCGCTGGTGTCATGAAAGCTTCTAGCATGATCCAGGCAGGGGCTTTTGCTCCCAACCTGTTATTCGAGACTTTGAACCCTAAGATCGAACCATTTTACAAGGGTTTGCATGTGCCCACAAAACTGACATCTTGGCCTACCTTGCCAGAAGGAGTTCCTCGTCGTGTCAGTGTTAACAGCTTTGGTTAGTATTTTCTAAAAATGGGCCCCGGGGGTTGAGCGCGATGCTGACAAACACAGGTTTCGGCGGCACCAACTCACACGCGATTTTGGAGTCGTACCAGGCCCCCGAAGTCACTGGCTCTTCTGGTCCAACATTAACTCCTTTCGTATTTTCAGCTGCGTCTGAAGGATCTCTGCTCGCTCAATTACAATTCTTCTCCGAACACCTAAAGACTCATCATGATACTATCGATGTCGCAGACCTGGCGTGGACACTACACTCCCGCCGCAGCCAGTTGTCGACCAAGGCCGCCTTCTCCGCCCTGACTGTTGAGCAACTCGCTTCTAAAATTGACATCAAGCTAGCAGAGGTGAGCCAGAACTCTGCGGCCACTGTTGGCCTCCGCTCCACTATTAAAACCGCCCCTCGCCTGCTCGGTGTGTTTACCGGCCAGGGTGCTCAATGGCCAGCGATGGGCGCTCACCTGATCCGCTCGTCAGCATTTGTCCAAAAGAGAATCCAGGAGCTCGAGGACTCGCTGAATACTCTCCCAGAAAGCGACCGTCCGACATGGAACCTCAAAGAGGAGATGCTGGCTGGAGCCGACACTTCGCGCCTTGCTGAAGCTGCACTGTCGCAACCATTGTGTACCGCAATCCAGGTTGTCCTGATTGATCTTCTCCGGGCAGCTGGAATTACCTTCTCTGCTGTCGTGGGTCATTCCTCCGGTGAGATTGCTGCTGCCTATGCAGCCGATTTCATCTCCGGCCACGATGCGATCCGCCTTGCTTACTACCGTGGATTCTTTGCTCACCTTGCAGGCAATGAAGCCACTGGCCAAAAGGGCGCCATGTTGGCAGTTGGTACCTCATGGGAGGATGCAAAGGATTTCATCAACTTGTCCACCTTCAAGGGCCGTCTGGCTATCGCTGCCCACAACTCTCCTGCCAGTGTGACCTTGTCGGGAGATGCCGACGCCGTCGTGCACGCGAAGAAGGTCTTCGACGAAGACCGCAAGTTTGCCAGAGCTCTGAAGGTTGACACTGCGTACCACTCCCACCACATGTTGCCCTGTGGAGAGGCATACGTCAAGGCCTTGCAGGCATGCGGTATCCGGATCAACAAGGAGCGTTCCAAGGCTTGCTCTTGGTTCTCTAGTGTTACAGCCTCTGCTGAGCCAATGGAACCGATTGAGGAACTTAACGACGTGTACTGGAGGGATAACATGACCAATGCAGTGCTCTTTGCAGATGCTGTTAAGAATGCCGCAGCTAGCGACCAACTCATCAACCTTGCCGTTGAGGTCGGACCTCATCCGGCCCTGAAAGGCCCAGCCATGCAAAATATCTCCGATGTGCGAGACACACCGCTTCCCTACACTGGTGTTCTTAGCCGTGGAAAGAACGACATCGAGGCTTTCTCCGAGGGCCTGGGTTTCATGTGGACTCATCTTCCGCAGTTGGTTGATTTCCGATCCTTTGAAAAAGCTGTGGCTGAGGAAGGCGCTCGCCCTCCCAAGCTGGTGGCCGGATTGCCCTCATATCAGTGGAACCATGGACGCTCCCACTGGAGCGAATCGCGTATCTCGAGAAAAATGCGGACGCGGAAGCACGGCCACCATGAAATTCTTGGCTTCCTGTCTACCGATTCCAATGCACAGGAGCTACGCTGGCTGAATGTGCTCAAGCAGTCGGAAATCCCCTGGCTCGCTGGCCACCAGTTGCAAGGTATGACCGTCTTCCCAGCTGCAGGTTATATCGCCATGGCCCTCGAGGCAGCGAGACATGTTGCGGGCAATATGCAGGTCAAACTGTTCGAGCTACACGACCTTTCCATTCCAAGAGCCCTCACATTTGAGGATGGAGACAGCGCGGGCGTCGAAACCTTGGTCACCCTGACTGGAGTCAAGTATCTCCCCGACCAAACCGCAACCACGCAGTTCGCTTGTTACTCCGTCCCTGTTCTCACCAAGGGTTCGGACTTGGATATGGAACTCATGGCTAGCGGAACAGTGAAGATCATCTTCGGTATTCCAGACGTCGCAGCACTGGACCGTCTACCAGTGACCGAGAACAACATGAACGCGGTTGATCCCGACCGTTTCTATGCTGGTCTTGCCGAGCTAGGATACCACTACGGCGGGCCATTCAGAACTATGTCTGGAATGAAGCGCAAGCTCAACCAGTCTTCCGTCCTGGTGGACTCGTTCCCTTACAAAGATTCGGACGTGTCCGACTTCCTGGTTCACCCAAGCACACTCGATGTTGCCTTCCAGGCATCAATTCTCGCATTCTCCGCCCCCGGGGATGGTCGTCTTGGGTCACTATCCGTCCCCACCGGGATGAAAGCCCTTCGCGTCAACCCGGAGGTGTGTGCTTCGCTACCGACTTCCGGGTCGAAAGTGCCTGTCATCTCAGCGCTCGATCCTGAGTTTGAGGGATTCTCTGCCAGTATCGATCTTCTCGATCAGGATGCCGGAAACTGTATGATCCACGTGGAGGATATCGTCCTCAAGCCCTTCGCTCCAGCCACCGCGGCCGACGATACTGTCATGTTCACACAGACCAAGTTTGGTTTCGCGCTGCCAGATGGAGCCGCTGCTGTGAACCTTTCAAGTATGGTAGCGCAGGTAACACATCGCTACCCACACGCGCGCATTCTCCAAATAGGTGAGCCTAATCTGTCTACAATTGGAATGCAAATACCCTTTTCGGGTTACTAACTAGATACCAGGTGCTGGATCAGGAACCGCTACAAAGCCGATTCTTGATAGCATCGGTGGTAAGTTCTCCTCATACACCTACACTGATCCATCAGCGGACTACTTTGCCAGAGCGGAGGAGTTCTTCTGCGCACACAGCGATAAGATGACATTCAGTGCCTTGGACATTGAAAAGCCGGCCACCGAACAAGGATTTGAACCTCGCTCCTACGATATCATCATCGCATCTAACGCGTTGTCCGCTGCGGATCCTCTCCAGGCGACTTTGAAAAATGTGCGAGAGCTTCTCAAGCCAGGAGGTTATCTATTGCTGTCGGAGCCCACCAGCTCAACCGCGGTCGAAGGCCAGAGCGATGGCCCCTCCCCGCTGACATTGGGAATCTGGCATTCTGCCTTGCGTAAGGCTGGATTTGGGGGAGTTGACGCTGCCACCCCAGATATGGACCGCACTGATGGGTCATTCTCGGTCATGGCGGCGCAGGCTGTAGACGACCGAGTGCACTTCCTGCGACGACCACTCTCTGCCTCTACTCCGCCTATCGAAATTGAAAGTCTGGTTATTCTCGGCAATGGGACTCTCGAGACTGTCCGTCTTGGCGAGGAGATTGTGGACCACCTTGGACGCTTCTGCGGCGAGACGACCATTCTCAACGGCCTTCCTACCGAGGAAGAGGCGCTCGAGTTGAACCCAATGAGCACCTTCATCAACCTTGTCGATATCGACTCTGCCATCTTCAAGGACATCACACCTGAAAAGATGGACGGCCTGAAGAGAATGGTGGAGCTGGCTAAGCACATCGTTTGGGTCACCCAAGGCGCACACACCGATCACGCGTACCACATGGCCAGTGTTGGATTCAGCCGTACTATCCAGCAAGAGGCAGCACACATCACCTGGAATGTTCTCGATGTGTCCGATCTGCAACACAACACATCCAAGGCTATCTCTGAGTATCTTCTTCAGCAGAGCGCCCTTGACGCCTGGGAGGCACCTCCATCGGCCTTGGGAGATAGGGAACACAGGGACTTTGCATTCCTTTGGTCAAAGGAGCCCGAGGTGTTCCTTGATCACGGCAAGCTGAAAATCCCTCGCCTGATGGTGAACACAGAGCAAAATGCCAGACTGAACTCGTCCAAACGTGTCATCACCAAGACAGTGCCAATTTCCCACCCCAACATCACTGTTCTTTCACCGGCGGCAGATTCACCATCCTCTTTGGTGGAGCTTGTTGGCGGCCAGCCCAAAGAGTTCTCTGAGGATTTCATCAAGGTCGAAGCGTCAAGCTTGATGGCAATCCGTGTCACGCCGGATATGTTCTTGTACGTTGGAGCCGGCAGAGGCAATGACGGAAAAATGCAGATCTTCGTCTCGACTACCAACTCTTCCCAGGCAGCTCCAGTTGCGAGTGTACCAGCAGATGTGGGTGCCGAGGCCGACGACTTGCTTGTCTCCGTTGCGAGCGAGCTCATCGTTCGCTCGCTCCTTGAGCAAATTCCCAACAGAAGTCACATGCTGGTTCACTGCTCCGGTGAAGATCGTTTCCTCGCTGCGGCCTTAGTCAAGCAAGCCGCCGCAAAGGCAGTTGGCGTGGAGTTCACCTGTGATGGGCAAGACAAACAGCGAGACCCAGCATGGATCACTCTGGATGTGCGCACTCCCAACCATTGCGTGCGTGAGAGACTTCGTCAAATCATGCCTACCCACTTCTTAGATTTGACAGCTACACCTTCTCTCAGCGAGAGCGGTTTGCGCGTCGATAAGTTCCTGCCCGCACGCTGCAGCCGCATTAACCCAACTAGTCTCTTCCGACACCAGTCCTCCGCGCTCTCTCAGTCCTATGACCATGCTGCTCTGGAGAACCTACTCAAAGATGCCGTTTCCAACACGGTCGTTTTCCCAGGTGGAGTTCAGGACTTGGTTACTCAGGTTGACCGTCTCGGTGCGCTCAGCTACAAGCACGCGACATATGCTGTTCATTGGCCTGTGTACGGCTTTGTCGAGATTGAGGTGCGCCCTCTCGAGGCCGAAGCTCTCTTCTCCAAAGACAAGACATATATTCTCGTTGGTCTCAGTGGCTCCATGGGTCAGTCACTTTGCGAGTGGATGGTTTCGAATGGAGCTGGATGTGTTTGCTTGACCAGTCGACGCCCCCAGGTCAATGAAGACTGGCTGAAATCCTTCCGTGGAACAGGCGCCACTGTCAAGATTGTCTCCATGGACGTTCTTAACAAGGAACATCTGAAGCGCGCCGTGGATGAGATCCGAGCGACATGCCCACCAATCGCCGGTATTGCCAATGGCGCCATGATTCTTGAGGACCAGCTCTTCTCAAATATGTCGGCCGAGTCAATGCAGAGAGTCCTTGGACCCAAGATTGACGGGTCCAAGAATCTGGATGAGCTCTTCTACAACGAGGACCTTGACTTCTTCGTCATGTTCTCATCCATTGCCTGTGTCTTCGGAAATGTCGGCCAGTCCAACTACAATGCGGCAAACGCCTTCATGGGTGGCCTTGCCAGACAGCGTCGCAGACGTGGTCTGGCCGCCTCTGCCCTTGATATCGGCCAGGTCACTGGTATCGGTTTGATTGAAGCAGCCAACCAGAGCGTCCATGATCAGCTGAGAAAGCTCCGCCTGGCGCTCGTCTCTGAGACAGTTCTCCGAAAAGCGCTTGGTGAAGCGATCCAAGCCGGATATCCAGGTCAGAATGATTACGATTACATCCCCACTGTGACCACCGGTGTCCGCATCTACGGCGAGGATGAGAAGGACGAGGTCACCGGCCCGTGGTTCAGCAATTCATTCTTCTCGCACATGATTCGCCAGAGCGACTCATCAGCATCAGGATCTGACGAACAGGATAAGAAGTCACTGCCCGTTCGCCAACAGCTTGCGGCAGCTTCAAACAAGCAAGAGGCTCTCGAAACCCTGGAAGGTATGTTTTTTCAAGTGCGAGATTCTTGTGAGTAGCTAACCAGAACGCAGATTGTCTCGCATCGAGGTTGCGCGTCTTGCTGCAGTTGGGAGACCAGGAGATCCATCACGATGCTCCTCTTCTCGAACTGGGCATTGATTCCTTGGTTGCCGTGGAAGTGCGAACCTGGTTCACCAAGGAGTTGAAGGTTGACATGCCTGTTCTTAAGGTAATTGGAGGCGCATCTCTCGCTGAGCTGTGCCAAGGGGCCTTTGAGAAGCTCCCCGCGGAGCTTGCTGCAACCATCGGAACCGAGGGCAAGGATGCTGAGCCCACCAAGCCTGCTCCGACAAAGGCGCAGCCTCAGCTTCCCCAGCCGCGGGTTGAGGGATCTGTTTCAGACTCGACATCGACATCCGGGGACAACTCCACCTCCACACCAGGTGAAAACTCGACCCCAAACAAGCATGCCGGAACGACATTGACGACAATGACCACACCGTCCGTCGTTTCCGACCATGATGACATCGCTAAGACAGTAAAAACTGAACGCCTACCGAAAAAGTTCCTGAAGAGTGAGCGTCTCTCGTTGCCGCAGTCACGATTCTGGTTCTTGCGACACCTTCTTGAAGACCCAACAACCCCCAACGTGGTCTTCCAGTTCCATGTCACCGGAAACTTGCATGTAGGCGCCCTGGAGAGAGCCATCCGCACAGTGGCAACCAGACACGAAGCGCTACGCACATGCTTTGTCGAGAATGAGAACGAAGCCGGTGAGGCTTACCAGAAGGTGTTGCGCAGCTCCCCGATGCGCCTTGAACGCAAGAAGGTTGCATCGGAGGAGCAAGTTGCTGCTGAGTATAAGACCCTGAAGGAGCATGTGTTTGACCTGGAGAACGGCGACGTGATGCGTATCCTTCTCCTAACCCTCTCATCAGGAAACCATTATTTGCTGATCAATTACCACCACATTGTCATGGACGGAGCTAGCTTTAACATCTTCACCGCAGATTTGGAAAAGGCTTACAGCGGCCAATCTCTCGGGGCACCCCCAGGACAGTATCCTGCCTTCTCAGTGGCTCAGCGCCAGGCCCTTGAGAATGGAGAGATGAGCGATGAGCTGAAGTACTGGCAGGGAGTATTCCCTGCTGGTGAGCAGCCCCCTGTCCTTCCGCTCTTGCCAATGGCCCGCACGAGCTCCAGAGTTGCCATGCAAGGATTCGCCGCCCACCAGGTGGCCATCGACCTTGAGCCCGAGCTGGTCGCGCGAGTGAAGGCTGTCTCCAAGGCACAGCGGTCTACTCCCTTCCATTTCCACCTCGCTGCGTTCAAGGCTATGCTATTCTGCCTCGCCGGCGAGGACACCAAGGACTTGACAATCGGTATTGCCGACGCTGCTCGCAACGATAGCAGCGTTGAAGGCAGCATTGGTTTCTTCCTCAACCTTCTGACCCTTCGCTTCCGCCGTCAGAACGACCAGTCCTTTGCTGATGCAGTTTCAGAAGCCAGAGATACGACATACGCAGCGCTGGGCACATCGCGCTTGCCGTTTGATGTGTTGCTCAAGGAGTTGGGCGTCGCTCGATCTTCGCTACACAGTCCTTTCTTCCAGGCCTTCTTGGATTACCGCCAGGGTGCCCAGCAGAAATACCCTTGGGGTAACTGTGAATTTGAGTTCGAAGATGTCCACCCTGGACGGACCGCGTACGACATTACATTGGATGTGACTGAGTGGAATGCTACAGACACTCTCGTGATGATTCGAGTACAGACGAGTCTCTACGACCTCACAGCGGCGAACCTGTTGCTGAAGACCTATGTCAACTTCCTTGAGACTGTCACCAGTGATGCGTCGTTGACTCTGGAAAATACCCCAATCTTTGGACAGGAGCAGCTGACCAAAGCGGTCGAGGTCGGCCGTGGTAAGTCTACTTTTCATCCCTTCAAGCATGTGCCCAAAAGGGAGAACGCTACTAACTCTAGGACAGGTCTCAATCTGACATCTGACTGGCCCGGAACACTTCCCCTCCGGATCGATCAGATTGCCGAGGAGAACCCCCGCAAAGTCGCCCTGATGGACGGTACTGGCAAGGTCCTCACATACTCCGGCATGGTGAACCGGATTGAGGCTATAAGCGAGGCCTTGCAGAATGCCGGAGTCCGCGAAGGCTCCCGAGTACTTGTCTACCAGCAGCCTGCGGCGGACTGGACATGCTCCATGCTTGCCATCATGCGCATTGGTGCAGTCTATGTACCATTGGATCTCCGCAATCCGCTGGCTCGCCTCGCCACTGTCGCCAAGAATTGTGAGCCTCTCGCCATTCTCGCTGATGATACCACAGAAGATGATGCCCCGCAACTCCAGGAACAGGCACCGGATGCCCGCATCATCAACGTCTCTGGTCTCCCTGAGGCGGCCACGGCTCCCATCCCCAACTCTTCAAACGCAGATTCCACTGCAGCGATCTTGTACACCAGTGGCTCGACGGGTTTGCCTAAGGGAATTGTGGTGACTCACGCAGGTCTCCGAAACGAGATTGAGGGATATACCAAGTCTTGGGGACTGAAGGCGGAGCGCGTCCTTCAGCAGAGTGCCTTCACCTTCAACCACTCCTCGGACCAGATGTACACAGCCCTTTGCAACGGAGGTATGGCCTACATCGTTCCTGCTGATAAGCGTGGCGATCCAATTTCGATCACCAAGATCATCCAAGAGGTGGGAATTACTTACACCAAGGCCACGCCATCCGAGTACTCGCTTTGGATGCAGTACGGCGGCGACACACTTCGACAGGCGAAGGACTGGCGCTTCGCTTTCGGTGGTGGTGAGCAGCTTACCACCCTCGTCACTCAAGAATTCGCGAGCCTTGATCTCCCCCAGCTCCGCTTCTTCAACTCATATGGTCCGACCGAGATCTCCATTTCATCTCATAAGATGGAGATCCCTTACCGCGAAACGGAGAAGTTGACCGACATGGGCCGTATTCCGTGCGGCTTCTCCCTCCCCAACTACTATACTTACGTTGTGGACGAGCAGCTGCGACCGGTTCCCGTTGGCATGCCGGGAGAGATCTGTCTCGGCGGTGCTGGTGTCTCTCGCGGATACCTCAAAAACCAGGAGCTCACCGACAAACACTTTGTGACGAATCCGTTTGCGACACCTGAAGATGTCGCCCGCGGCTGGACACGCATGTACCGCACAGGCGACATCGGCCATCTGCAAGAAGATGGCGCCATGGTGTTCCATAGTCGAATGGCGGGCGATGCTCAGGTGAAGATCCGTGGACTTCGGATTGAGCTGAGCGATATCGAGAGCAACATGATCTGTGTTGCTGGTGGTGCGCTGAGAGAAGTTGTGGTCACTCTCCGTGAGGGTGATTCGCCGTTCCTGGTCGCCCACGTTGTCTTCGAGCCCAAGCACAATATTGTGGACAAGGACACATTCTTGCGGGACCTGCTCGCTCGTCTGTCTCTCCCCCAGTACATGATACCGGTGATGGCCATTCCGATCGACAAATTCCCTCTGAGCAACCACTCTAAGGTAGACCGCAAGGCCGTACAGGCCATGCCTCTGCCTGATCGTGTGCTACAGACGCAGGACGACACTGAATTGACCGAGACCATGGTGCAGCTCAGGCACGTGTGGCGTGAAGTCTTGGGAAAGAACGTCGACAAGCTCGGTGTTGACCTGGGACCTTCGACCGACTTCTTCATCGTGGGAGGCAACTCCCTCTTGGTCATCCGTCTCCAGGCCTGCATTCGCCAGGCCTTCAATGTCGCGCTTCCCCTCGCCAAGCTCCTAGGCGCCAGTGTCCTCGGTGATATGGCGCGCAAGATTGAAGAAAGCCCGACCGTTGACTCCATTGATTGGGAGCAGGAAACTGCACCGCCAACCTTGCCCACCTTCCTCCGCGACCTTGCCCCAAGAAGCCCTTCTGCAGCCAAGACCATCGTTGTCACGGGTGCGACAGGCTTCCTCGGCCAGTCCATGCTCCCGCAGCTTGCAGCAAGACCCGATGTGGCTGCGATCCACTGTATCGCCGTGCGAGACAAGCCTCGCGCACGTCAACTCTTCTCTGCTTCCAATGTGGCCTATCACCCAGGTGACCTGTCTCTTCCACTTCTCGGACTGGGTCTGGATGAATTCCGTCAGCTAGCAAGCCAGGCGGATGTCATTCTCCACATGGGTGCCGTCCGATCCTTCTGGGACAACTACAACGTCCTGCGTCCCAGTAACGTCCAGCCGACCAAGGAACTTGCCAAACTCGCCGCCGTGCACCAAGTCCCTATCCATTACATCTCAACTGTGGGTGTTCTACCGGAGCTGGCTACCACAAGCGAAGCCGGCTCTGCGGCCGCTTATGTTCCCCCCGTGGACGGAACCGAGGGCTACATTGGCAGCAAATGGGCCAGTGAGCGCATTTTGGAGCGCTCTGCTGGAGAATTGGACGTCCCATCCTCCATCTACCGCTTCCTCCCCGCTACAAAACAAGATCCCGTGCAGAAGCAGCAACTAATGAATACGTTCATCCATTACGTCGACGCATCGAACAAGGTGCCCGACATGAGCGTCTGGGCCGGTCGCGTGGATCTGATTCCCACTGAGCAGGTTTCCCAGTGGCTCGGTGATTCCCTTACTGCTGCACCTACTACTACTGCTACGACCAAGTTCTCGCACTACGAAAGCCCGCTTGCTGTCCACACAGATGAGCTGACTGCATACATTCAGCAGGAGCGGGGAGACCGGGAAGGTCTAGAGCCGATGCCGGTTCTGAAATGGTTTGGACTGATCAAGTCCCTTGGATTTGACTACCTTCTGGCGTCGCAGGAGGCCACCGTCGGTGGCAGCGGTGAGAATGGCCAGGTCCTGCAATCACGCCGTTGAGAAAACTTTGCCTGTTGGACAAGTTGACTTGTTATTTTAGCCTTGCTTTTTTTGTTTTGTTTTGGGGCTTATAAGATGTCTTCCCCATTTTTTGATCTGTTACTTGGTTCTAGACTGCAAAGCGTATAGATTGATATTTGTCTAGTAGATTTCTACTTAATAGAATCCATTTTTTGTTTTACTTCACTCCATTACCAAGTATCTCCATAGTCCGTAATCCTATTCCGTATTCCTTAGTTAGTTCTAATATTATCAAAGTAGTTTATTTTGCGATGTGTAGAGCCATTTGAGCCTCACGGCGCAGTTTCCTATTTTGGAATAATCCGATTTCCCCTGAAAATATTTAATGTAAATATTTTAAAAGGAATATAATATAGAATCTCTCTCAATTGGCTTGTCGGCAAAAATGTACAAATTCCAAGTCATCCAACACGAAAATGATAAGAAACCGCCGAAGACTCGGGGTGAGGCGTGGCAGATAATACGCCGAAACGCTGGACAAATATAGCATCGGAGGATTTACGCAGGGGTAAGCACCCCCTGCATTTCCATTGTTTCCTGATGATATTGCATGCAATACCCCAGTCAGTTGCAGTCAATTACCCTTTCAGATGATGGCTATCCGGTTCTGGCCATTCTTGATCTCGGTCGTCGCCGCTGCGGCACGACCTCCCACCACAGATCCGCTATGCAGAAACATCCCTGGTGACAAGGGGTGGCCGAAACAGGGGGCATGGCATCGCTTGAACAGTACAGTCGGTGGAAGACTGATCGAGACTGTTCCCTTGGCACACATTTGTCACGAAACTGGCATTTATCCGGCCTTCAATGAGCCTGCATGCGAGGATTTACAGGAAGCCTTCAATGAGGCTGGTGCGCAGACTCTGTATGGAATACCCTATTTCAACCGTAAAAGATGAACCCAAGCTTATCATGATAGCCAACCACAACCGGGCGAGTTTATGAACGCATACTTCCTGAACACCTCCTGTTCACCATTTACTCCGAAATCTGTGCCTTGCGAGCTAGGAAACAGAGCTGTATACTCCATCGATGTGACTGGACCCGCCGACGTGCAGGCGGGCTTGAAATTCGCCAGCGAAAATAACATTCGTCTCGTCGTCAAAAGTACCGGCCTTGAGTGAGTCCACCTTTTCCTGCAATGACAACAGAGCAATCGCTAATAAAGTCAAAGTTATATGGGAAAGTCGACTGGCTATGGAGCACTCTCCCTATGGATGTACAACCTGAAGACCATCGATGTGATCCCCAACTACGTGAGCCCTCAGTATTCCGGAGCCGCGGTAAAACTGGGCCCCGGTGTGATTGCTGGCGAGGCCTATCAAGCCTTGAATGCGGCGGGTTACCGGATCGTAGCTCCCGAATGCGGTCTCAGCGGGATTGCCGGCGGTTATCTGCAAGGCGTCGGTCACTCGCAGCTCGTTACCAAATACGGAGCTCCCGCCGACCAGGTTCTTGAATGGGAACTTGTCACCCCCGCCGGGAAGTATCTGACCGCTACACCCAAGAAGAACAAAGACCTGTACTGGGCACTTGCAGGCGGCGGAGGCGGGACGTACGGAGTTGTGCTTAGCGTGACGATCAAAGCGTACCCCGACGGACCAGTAGCCGGAGGCACACTAGTCGTCAACAACACCAACGACGCCGCGTTCTGGGAAGCCATCGGAAGCTGGTTCCACCGTGGTCCATCCTTCGTGGAGAACACTCCCAACAATGTGCAGTTCCTCGTCACGAACGCTACTCTGCAAGTCTTCAGCTTAGTCCTACCGGATCAGGAAAGCTCCGCCGTGGACGCCCTAGTAGCCCCATTCATCGACGATCTGAAACGGCTGGATCTCCCGTATGAGCTAAAGACCGGCCAGGCCCGCACTTATGCCGACAGCCTGGTCTCATCGTACGGGCCCCTGCCATACGGAAACCTGTGTCCTAGCTTCCCTGTCATCTCCAGCCGGCTCATCCCGCGCGCGACAGTGCTGAATACCACATCCAATGCTGAGCTGATGGATGCATACCGCTCTATCACTGCCGATGGAACATGGTTTGTCGGCTGCTCCTTCATCAACGTGGAAGAAGACTCCCCAATCCGCGGACCTCACCCTCCCAACTCAGTCCACCCAGCCTGGCGTAAGGCCATTGCCTACTGCAATCCTAACAATCCCTGGGATTGGGAAGATCCCGCGAAGAGTCTGGCGCTCAAGAAGCAGCTCGTTGATGAGTTTTTCCCCGCTATCGAGGCGGCGACGCCCGGATCAGGTGTCAATCTCAATGAGATGGATCCATGGTATAAGGGAGATTGGAAACAAACGATGTACGGGGATAATTATAAGCGATTGCTAAAGATCAAGCATGATCATGACCCGCATCGGTTGATGTATGGTCATTTCGCGGTGGGAGCTGATGAGTTTACTTTGGATAAGGATAATAGGCTCTGCAGAGCTCGATAGATTCCGGGGCTTTGTATATATGTTGTGAGTAGTTAATCGAAGAGTGCAATAGTACTTTCTGCATCGGGGACTTTTAATGGAGTTTCCATTCTTCAAAATGCCAAACCTCTTGGAACTGAGTTTCTACACTAACCCGATTCCCCACGGGCATATTGCTGTGTTTCTATAAAACTTGCATGGTTGTATTGCAAGTATTTTAAGTTCGACATCAATTTAGTTGCTTTTTTTTTTACCGGCGTAATCCGGACCCTGAAGCCGATCTCCTGTTGTCATTTTCGTTTCTGTTAATTTATCTACAGGTGAATCTAGACCATGGACTAATCGTGGTGTTGGCTTGGCATCATGTCTACAACAATCTAATTTATTCCATATATGAAGCGTGCTTTTATCTGTACTGTACTCCATATAATAGTAACTCTTACGAAAAATTTGTTGCAACTGATATCTCGCCTATATTATTTCAGCAAAATATCGAGGTCACTGCCTTGTATATCTGGGTCGGATATAGATTGATCACAGAGTCTTCCGAATATATATTCTTGGGGATCTCGGATTTGGTTCCAGAAGTTTGGAAGGGATTTGTACAAAAAGAACAATATGAAATATATGATATTTCATCTATAAAATGAGAGGAAATCAGGATTTGATACCTTCTGCGGGTGGCAGCCCGCATAGCCCTAAGTAACTTTGGATTTGTTTTTACACTCCTTGTGTTGTATACCATTTGCACTATTTGCACTATTTGCATTCGCTTACTAAGGAAATAGTACAGGGGCTATTCCGAGGTCGATCCCTATATCAAACGACTACTGAAAAGACTACTGAACAGACTACTCGGTGACCCAGCACGAGGTCACCATTTCCAGCCATTGGACTGCTCTACATGTCCGGCCATGTCCACACCTACTCCCACCTCATCAAGTCCACTAGTGTCCGAAATATCAGCAACGAAGAGTAAAATGAGATCGCACGCTATCTGCAAAGCGCCATCAAAAGTATCATGGACAAGACGAGACAGGCGGTGGAAGAAGGCCTTCGTGTTATCGAAAAGAGTGGGTTGAGCCGGAAACGCCGCCATCAAAGGTAGCAAATTCAACTTCCTGAATCAAGATCACTGTCATTTTAATTCACTCGCTTTGCTTCTCAACAGATATACTTCTTGAAAGTAATACAGCATTCTATGGTTGAACCATAGAAATGATCAACTAATATGCATTATTTACATCTACTCAAGCCCGACACAACTTCCCATCATTCTGCGTCTTCCATCCCTCACTGCCCACCGCAATGGGATTCCAAAACAACCCCTTTGGATCATATGACTTCTTAATCGCCAACAACCGCCGATAATTCTGACCGTAGAAAACATCCTGCCAATCGGGTTGCTGGAAGTCAGCCTCGTTGATGTACGCTCCCGCGTCGGGTGTGACCTTCTCAATGATCGGCATAATGGTGTTCGTGATATAGTCTTGCTTGGCCTTCATTTTCTCAAATGGCACATCGAAGCTGTACGGCAGGGTGTACGAGGACATAACGAGAGTGTCTCGCCATTGCGGGAGAACGGCTCTGCTGCGAGAGGCGAAGCGGGCGATATTAGTCGCTTGGCCGATGACTCGCACGCCTAGCTGTAGTGTCTCGTTGATGGCGCCACCGACCTGCTGGAGGGCATCGCGGTGAAGCAGACGGCCACCCATGAGGTATTCACCGGCTGAGCCGAAGACACCAACGGGCAGAGGTCCGAAGTACGAGTAGTAGAACTCGTTGTACGTGTCGAATTGGGTGTATTTTGGCTTGAGGTCGACGTTCAAAGAAGCCACAGACTTGACAAAGGGTGCTAGAATCTTTTCCATGTCGGCCTGCGTGCGGTTGTAACCAGTCAGGGAGTAGACGACGAGGGTACCCTTCTCTGCGTAGTAGGTGGCCATTATGCCTGCGTCCAGAATAGCAGGCAGAGCGGCGTGCCAGGCGTTCACGATCGCCGGGTAATCCAAGCTGGGGTCATCCAGGGTAAAGCCGGCTCCGCTGGTCATCGCCTCTGGGTGCGCCTTGAGGGTAACAGAGACCACTACGCCGTAATTGCCAGCACCGCTGCCACTTAAGGCGAAGAAGAGATCGGCGTGTTTGCGGGAGTGTGGACTGGCCTTGACGAACTTGCCGTCCGCTGTTACAACCTCGAACTCCAGGGTGTTGTCGGCGGATAGACCGTACGCTGTGCTGAGAGGGGAGTGACCACCACCCTGGGTATACCCTCCAGCAACTCCCACTGTAGGGCATTCACCTGTCACGGCAACCAATCCATGTTTTGTCAGGGCCTGGCCGACCTCGAAACCTTGCACTCCGGCACCGATCTTGATGGCCTTGCCGGTGTACTCTGGATCAGACCAGTCTTTGACCTCAGTGTCCTTCATGTGGTGGGTCCAGATGGCGAGCGCACCGGCACCGGTCGAACGCCCCATGTAGTCATGTGCCGTGTTTCGGATCACCAGACGGATGTTCTTCTTTTCGGCAAACCGGATGGTTGCTGCAATATCCTTCGGTCCTGTCACATCCACCGCATATCGCACATAGTTGCCCATCTGGCACGGGGAATCGCGAGGTGTGAATGGATCGCAACTTTGGTTGGCATAAATAGGGTCTTGAATGGAGGAGGACGAGTCGATACTGTCTAGTTTTTAGTTATATGATTCCTTTTTTTTTTTTTTTTGAGAGGTTTGAACATACTGCACTGCTGAAAGCTTCCACTGGGATGTCAATTCCTTGCACACAGCCTCATCATAATTAGGAGCATGGCATGGTGAGCCCAGAGGTACCGTCTCAATCAAACGGCCTCCTACTGTGCGATTGAAGCTGTTCCATTCCTCCTTTGATGGCCAGCATGCATCACCGGGGAAGCACTTGCAAGCCTGGGCGCCAGCGCTGACGCTGGCAGCTGTTGCCAAGGCGCATAAACTGCTAAGTAGTAGAAGTCTCATACTGATAATGTGAATTGATTGACATAAAATCAAACAGGGGTCTAATTAGAAGTTTTATATATAATTCATCTCTAATAAAAGTGTACAGGGATTCGGCCATTTCATAACTCTAAATAACATCAAGATCGGTGACTTACGACTTACGATATCTTCGGATATTAAAAACCTCGTATTCTGACAATTATTGACAATCTAGCCTGCCAAGGTTGAATCCTTCGACTTTAAGCCCCAACGGCAGCAATAAGTTCCTTGTCGAAGGAGAATTGGTTGCGGAATCGCTTCACCAGCAGCGCACCAACAGTCTCGCGCTCAGGGTCGGACGGGTCCAGTGGGTTGGTCGCGAACAAATCGCCATGGAAGAAGGTGGCGCACGACAGACGGGGCTCGTCGCTAGCAGCGTTGATGACTTGATGTTTCGCGCTCTTATACCGGCCCCCAGACCATTTTCCGATCATATCTCCACAGTTGATGACGTACACGTCTTCCATAGCCTTAACAGGCAGCCATTTCTCCAAACCCTCGTGCCAGACCTGGAGACCGTGCTTTCCAGCCTCCTGCAAAAGCACGGTGACGCCACCAAAATCTTTGTGGGGGCCGACGCCGAACTGGCCTGGAAGATCCTTGGCTTGCGGCGGATACCGGATCATCTTCATCACGACCATCGGGCGCTTGGCGAATTCTTCCATCAGCGAGATGGGGTGTCCAAGGCCGAGGAGAAGAATCTCCCAAATAATTTCACCGAGTTTGTGCGTTGCTTGGTAGTATTCCCAGACGGGATCGTGGAAGTCCTCCTTGGGGAGAGGGGGCCAGACATTTGGCCCGTAGAAGCCGGAATGCTCTACGACGGGATCCTCTCGTCCAATGTAGAATGCCTTGAAATTTTTATTAATATACTAACATAGGAAGAGAAGCAAAGCAGCGAATCCTTCAAGAAAGTGGACTTACCTCTTTGGAATCCGGCAAAGCGTCACCGTCGCGAAGCGATGCTCCAGACTCTTCGAATCCTCGGCGACAAGGGTTGTTCAGGAACGAGAGCTTGCGCTTCTCTTCCAGTGGCATTTGGAAGAGAGTTTCGATACTCTTCAGCAGGCCCTTTTGCTGGCTCATAGAGATGCCATGTCCGGTGGTCTGGAAGAATCCATACTGCGCACAAGCGTCTCGCACCTCGGCGATGACTCGTTCCTTGTCGCCTGGCTTTTGTGGGTTGATGTATCCACTGAGGTCAACAAGAGGGAGGGTAACTTCGTCTGTCGACATGTTTGCCGTTTGCCGTTGATTTCGAAGGTAAACTACGCACGAGTAGCTGAAGATAAAGCAAGAATGCGGTTTGAAGAAGAATGCAATAAAAGATCTACAGATCACATCTGGCAAACGTCATATATGCAACTACAACGAGCCTCATAGTATATACATTTCCGGTCTGCATGGTTATCGTAAGATGTGTGAATAACACCGATTGCCCTCAAACCTGACCTGCAGGCCACCTAAGCTTTCGGCGGTTTATTGTATTGCATGAGGAATGTGCTCGTGTCATTGAATATAACTATATCATTCGCTAGAAGGGGACTGTGGAATCGAGCTGCAAGTGGATGCAGTGGCCAGAACCCTATTTCGTCTTTATCTGATTCCAAAAATTACATTTCTTCAAGCCATCCTGACGCCGATCTTTCTATTAATATTATTAAGCGCCGAATCGGAGTCTTGGAATTTCCATGGCAGCGTCATTAGGGTGAATTGTGGTTCCATCCTAATGCCTTAAACATAACAAACAACATTATTTCCCGGAGCCATACTCATATATGACCGGGGTCGTAATTAGTACTTATTGCCTACCATTCTATCTTAAACAATTCATTCACTATACCTTCAATAATCAAAATGCACGTTCTCATTGTTGGAGCTGGCACCGGCGGGCTTACTCTAGCCCAGAACCTCCGAAAGCAGGGCATTTCATATGAGATCTTTGAGCGGGACGTAGACAGCAATGCGCGCTTCCAGGGATGGGCTATTGCTCTACACACGTAAGCCCTCAAATTAATCTATCTGGGAACAAGGGCTAAAAAGGAAACTAGGATCGTCGATGAACTCATCTCCTCTCTCCCGTCAGACCTACCCGATGTCAGAGAAGCCACTAACCACCTGGCCCCATTGACACTTCCCGGCCAGTTCCGTTACTATTATGGTGGAAAGGATCAGGGTTATGGATTCGAGGTATGGAAATTGAATCCAATGGCTGGCTATCAAAAATGAAGGATCATCTCATGACTGACTCTACCCTGTCGTTTCGACACAGGATTCCGCCGAAGTGCCATTTATTCGTGCAGAGCGGTCTCTTCTTCGGAAGTGGCTTCTGACCAATCTGGATGTCCAGTGGAACAAGCATGCTATTCGGATTGAACATGATGACGCAGGTGTCGAGGTATTCTTTAACGATGGCACAAGTGCTAAGGGAGATATCGTCGTTGGTGCCGATGGCGTTTACAGTCCTGGTATGTGATTGGATTTATATTCCCCCAACCCAGACACAGCGATTTCATAATCCTTGCTAACTAAATACTCACCGGCTTTAAGTTCGAACTACTCTTCTCCAACGCCCTAGCAGCGACCTCCTCCAGGTTGTCCCTCTAAGCGCCATTGTGGGCGAACTGAATCTATCCGGCGAGGCCTTCACACGCCAGCTCGCTCTAGGCCACAGCGCCTACAACCTCGTCAACCCGGAACTTGGCTTCATCGGGTTCGTCGGACTCCATAAGGTCCTTCCAGATGCCAAGTCTGGGCGCTTCTACTGGATGTTCATGCAACCCGATGCGGATGTCAACAGCTCCCAACATTGGCTCCAGACTTCCAGCCAGCAGGAAAAGCTAGACCATGTCCTCAAAACCACAGCAGGACTGCCTGCCAAGCTGCGAGAGATTTTCGAACTTACCCCAGCCGAGGGAATCCGCAAGGAGCCGCATATCTGGCGCGACCTTGAACTCGAAAGTCTGCCTTCCAGTCGTGTCGTGCTATTGGGAGATGCGGCACACGCAATGACACCGTCCCGTGGCGAGGGTGCTTTCCATGCTTTCCTCGATGCGATTAAGTTGACTAAAGTACTGGCCAAGTTGGAAGCTGATGGCAGCGTCCATGATATTGATGTTGTGAAGGCTGCGGTCGCTGGTTACCATGAGGAGATCTTGAGAAGGGGTGGTGCGGCGGTCCGGGCTTCGAGATCCTCCTACCAGGATTCGAAGAAGCGGGCGGAGACTGGAGAACACTTTATCACTGGAATGATAAAGTTGTCTGATGCACCGATTGTGCTTGATGTCAAGGCCTGAGACGAAATCATTATAGGGCTAGTGATGTCATATGATTTCAACGTTCCATGGTTAAATGATTAAATGACATATAAGTACGGTAGACTTGCCGCTTGCTCCTTTGGCTCCCATCACTAAATTTCTATTTTCGTTTAATTAACTTACAGGATAAGCGAGGATAAAGGTATATTTTTGGTATGGAAACTTCCCAACACCAAGCGGTAACATAAATGTACATATTTGGATAATGCATGTAAGCCTCGTAAACATTCCTATCTGTTCAAATATCCATGTCCTTCATTACGCATTATATCGCCGAATGTGCGGAGCCCGTGCATTCGGTTAATTTCGAATCTGTATAAGTGTGAGCTGCCGTCGGCGCATTATTAAGCATCAAAGGTACATCCACGCGTGGCTGTAGCCCTCATTCGAGCACATGACTTACATGTAACACATGATCAAACACTTCTAATATGAGGATGTCCGAATTGGGTTAGTTGCACGTTTTAGGAAGTCCGAAGCTCCGAGTAAGTAGGATTTCAAATCAAGGTGGTGAGCTGAGTAAAAATTCTGTGAATGACCAATCCATATCATGGAGATCTGTGTGTATCCCTGGGATTGCTGTAAGGAGTACGGAGTTGAGTACGGTGTATGTAGAAAGCACAGAATGGCGTACTCTAGAGTAAATATATCGAAACCATAATTTGATCCCATGCGCATTCCGGCGTATTGCTCGGACCTGAAGCTGTTCACAAGATCTTCTAAAGACATGGATTGGTTGATAATGGGCCAGCAGTGCCCAATGCCTGTTCCTAGCAGAACGCCATTGCAATTGAAATAGTCGGTGTATCTCAACAAGCAGCCAGCCGGTCTGAATTCCGGTCCAGATTCCGAAATCCGACCTCAAAGGATCCGGTTTCCATTTATCATTGTTTCCTTCCATTAATTCTCATATCAACATCGCGTCTTGTCATCTACAACGCAGAGTTTGTCGAAGGTGCCCGAGTCTCTCCTGCACCTGGTTCCTGAGATCATTCAACATATCTCTATCCTTATCAAGACTATCAGGCCCCCCAGGAATATCGAACTTCGGAGGAATCGGCCCACTCATAATATGCGGATGCAGACGAGCCTGCGGCGCCAGGTATGAGTCCACGGCTTGGAGTTGGCGTTCGATGAGGTAGGAACAAAGCTCTACTACCAACACCAGACGCACATCTCCCAGGACGGTTCCATTGGTCGATGAATATGCCTCATGTTGCAAGGCGACAAGAACGGCGACATAGATCTCCAACAGCAACGCCTCACAAGCCATGACCAGATAATGAATGACCTGCATGGTTCCATTTCCCGTGTTCGGGCAGGGAACGGATCGGCCCGCGATACCCGAACCATTCGGCAACCCAAGGGACCCGCTATCCCCACCAGAGACTGCAGTGGATGGCCTTTCCGGTGGGGTGATTATCGGTGAAGGATAAGGGTTGACTTCGACCATGAGACTGAATTGCAATTGTCCCAGGATTTCTAACAACCGCTGCGACGAACAGAAGACCTCTCTCAGTGTGCGACCGGCGCAAGTTCCTGTTTCAGAGATGGGAGTTGGATAAGGGACCTGGGTTTCAGGTGCTAATTGAGGTCCATTCATTCCTGTGAACCCTTGACCATGGGCCAGCCATGTGCTCACGAACTCAAAGGCAGAACTATCGATCAACGGGATTCTTCTATCATTCGGCATATGACACGGGGGCGTTTCTGCTGCTTTGGCCATATTGTAGCTTGTGTAGCGCAATAAGGCAAGGTCCATGCTGAGCTGAGACAGCTGTGTTACAGCAATGCTGGGGATGTGCATCGGCTTTTCCATTCCCATGTTCATTGAGCCATCGCCTATGCCTCTGTCCATCTCGGCTCTGCCAATATTATGGGTTTGGAAGATGTTACCGATAGGCTGGCTGTGGTCATATGCATGGAGATTGGAGGAATTCAGTTGGAAGTGAAGTTGGTCGGGTGAAGATTGGGGGTGCGCATCCGGTGCGCTTCCGTCGTTGCAAAATGCGCCAAGAGATGTCAATAATTTGTCGACCTGAGTAGGGTCTTGACTGTTCCACTCTCCGTCCAACTGCATATCATCCCAGTTCAATTGTTCTAATCGTGGGGCATTATCCATGACACCGGTTAAGACTGGATTCTCGTTTGTGGTAGGGTTGGCGACTTGAGAATCTTTGGTTGCACTCTCATCAACTTCAACGTTGGGACCTGAAGCTTCCCCGAGTGTTAATAGTCGATACGAATCCAACAACCCGAACGCAACGAAAAATATTGCCAAAACACTTACGAACAGGCTTGACTGGCTCTGCCGGCGGACTTGGTTGATTCGAAGGTGCAGCAGTTGCCGTTCCTGGGCGCACACTCGCCCCACCAGAACGGTACATGGTGGGGCGACCTTTAGGCAAACTGAAGCTGTACACGCATTGAGCCCGTTTTCGCAGGCATCTATCGCATACACCTGTGTTGGGTTCACGGATACACCGCAACTTTTGCTTGTGACACCTGTCACAAGACTGTCTATGAGGAAGTGAGGACGGGGCAGGTGGTGTTTCTGCGGCTGCAGGCTCCCCTGCAGTCTGGCCGGTCATTATGAATGTCTGATTGCGAAGACGAATTGGTTCATATGACTTGAAAAAAAGAAGAAGGAAGACAAAGAAGAAATGAATGAAAGAAGAATTCACGTGCTAGAAGGCCAAAAAAGAAGTTAACAAATCCGAGCTGACTTCACAACAATCTGCCTCATATCGGTGAGTTTATTTAGGGCGCTTCGACCCTTCTACATCACCGCCCCCTCTTAGGGCCACGATACGGTTGCGATAACGTGAGCTGACGATTTGACCAAATGGGAACAGCACGCAATACAGCATGCATTTACGACCCTGAAGAAATGACTTTGAATCAAGATAGGCGGGTGATGTACCTTGTGGCGCCTGTTCGTGTTACTGAGAGTTTACTGTATTAAATGTAAGATCTTTGCTGACTCGCCAGAGCTTCCTGTTCCAAGTATATGGACCCACTATACTGTCTGCCGTCATATTACGAAGTGCAGATTTGGTGGGAAGAAATAGCCCCAAAATACGAGGTTGTGAGGTTGCAACCTCTTCGTTTTTTTTTTCCTCCCGGGAGATATATTGAACATATCAATGTTGTATCCACACCCTGGTTAACTCGGCTAGATCGGAATAGAAACGGTTTGCATGGACATCAGGGATCAGCACGCGCAGTAGATAGATCTGGGCACATGGCTTTTGACCCTGAACGCAAAACCCCTTTCAAACAAAGAAAATAATAAATAACAAATTATAGCTTGTTACGCTAGTATTTCGAGTGTAATTCCCGTAACTTTCTTGGCCTTTTTTCAGGAGTCCAATCCCCGTGCACCTTCCTCGGGCACTAACTCCTTGAGTATCAATGTGGACATCCTTTTCATATAGGGATTGGATCGGTTTGACGGAGACTCTATTTTAGCTATTAAGTACGGGGCAATTCATTTAAGCATTCAATATGGAATCATCCTTTTTTTTTTTTTACCTTTCCTTCACCACTTTCTATAAAAATATCATAATGAAATATCTTCGTCTAATGTTTAGCCCTGAGCAATAGAGTTTACGTAAGTGATCACCTTGTTTGCGGCCAGCCCCTCGAGGCGTACCGAGGTGCCATCAAAAGGATGCAAATCCATGTTCAAAGTTTAGACTAACAACCGGAAGTGAGACTGTATCATTTTCCGTCACATAGTACGGAGTACTCCGTACAAAGTACTAGATTTGACACGTCGTGGACTGGGGGCCTTGCATGTCCACTTCCACTGCAGGGGTGTGATACGGTTAACTCCATATTTGGTCCTAGCGCCCAGCGCACCTTTATACTACTTGGTATTAGCGAGAATACGGAACCTTGTCTGTGCATCAAGAATGATATTAATCCCTGCATTAAAACCATATATACACAGCCACAGATAAATTGCATGATCCAACTGGCTACATCATCTGACACTAATATTAAAATTGATTAACGGTACATGTACGCCATACCTTCGTAATTAAAAAAAAAAATACATATTACTTGCCAATCATTGCTAAGGTTAAAGATGTATGATAAGGTTAGGGTTACGGGAGGTGAGATTGAATGATACTATTTAGGGAGTGTTACAATCACCCGAGGTCGGGAAGGAATATATTCAGGAAGGATCAAGATCTTCAGTCGGGAGTATAATGGGGCCGTCAAGTTAGCCCTAACCCCCGAATTACAAATCTAATAATATGTAATCTCATTAGCTAGTTTCCGTGGAGATATCGTTTTGTGGGGATCAAAAAAAGTTCGGCGATTTATTAAGCATCGGGGGGTTATACTATATGAACTATAAGGGGGGGCGAAAAAAAGGCTTGTCGGTCATTTAGCCACGTAAATAGATAGCTCTAAGAATTTCGACTAAGATTTGTAAGGATTTAATTCATAATCCGCGTCTTTCTCGGCTTTTAGTTAGCTCTAATAAATCAAATTCGCGTCTTTCTCGGCTTTTAGTTAGCTCTGACCCTTTTTTTGTTTGAACTGTGGCAATGAGGAACATGAGATGTAACAGCTATCATCCTCTCCAAATTCCCCACCTGGAAAAACCTTATATTTCCAGTCAACATCCCTCTATGATTCTGATATAGTACAGAAATATTGCTTTATATCTCGAACAACCCTTATCACTGTCGCCCAGTGTTATACCCAGACAACACTCCCAACGGCACCCAAGGTGATGTCTGGTGATACTCAAACATCCGACGCTGCTAGCAGCATGGAAGAGAAGAAAGATGTCTTCGCGGATAATAGTGACACTGATCAAACTGGGGCATCGGAGGAGGCCGACCCCGAGGCGGAGTATCCACAGGGCTTGAAACTAGTCCTGCTTGCTGGTGCATCGGTTATGGGCGTCTTCCTAATTTCTCTGGATCAAGTGAGTAATCTATGACTGGAGCAAACAAACCTCACCGCTTACACACCAACGTAGACAATCGTTGGTACCGCGGTCCCTAAGATCACGGACGAGTTTCATGGTCTCTACGATGTATCTTGGTATGCCGCCGCATACTTCATGACCTTCGGTGGTCTTGAGGCTACGTGGGGAAAAGCTTTCAAGTACTTCGATCTAAAGTACACCTTCATCGTTTCGATGGTGATATTCGAGGTTGGTAGTCTGATTTGCGGTGTTGCTCCAACTTCCAAAGCTTTGATCGTGGGTCGAGCTATCGCTGGTTGGGGTGGTGCTGGAATTTCAGTAGGAGGAACTAGTATTGTTGCCTTCAGTACTCCACCAAGAACACGACCGATCATGATGGGTATCATTGGACTCACCTATGGTCTTGCTGCCGTTCTTGGGCCCTTGATCGGCGGTGCCTTTACAGAGAGTGTGACATGGAGATGGTGCTTCTACATCAACCTGCCGATTGGAGGTCTCGCTGCTGGTCTAGTACTTATCTTCTTCCATCTCCCAGCTGCTGCCAAACCACCAAAGGTCAGCCTAAAGGAGAAGGTGTTGCAACTAGACCCAGTCGGCGTGGTACTGGCCATGGCCTCGATTATCTGCTTCCTCCTGGCCCTTCAATACGGCGGCAACACTTTGCCCTGGAAGAGCAGCGAGGTTATTGGACTGCTAATCGGGTTTGGTCTCCTCACAATTGCTCTTATTGCGTGGGAGATCTATCTCGGCGAGTATGCTATGCTCCAACCACGATTGTTCAAACAACGGTCATTGTGGAGTGTTGCCCCGTATCAATTCTTCTTCATGGGTACCCTCATTCTGCTGCTTTACCAACTGCCCATCTACTTCCAAAGTGTCAAGGGTGCCAGCCCAATCGAATCTGGTGTCGACAACCTTCCTATGGTTATCTCAGTGGGCATCTTCTGCGTCGTTGGCGGTATAGTGGTTTCTAAAACCGGCCATGCAGCTCCGACGATGTTGGCTGGCTCAGGGATCGCCACGATAGGAATTGGTCTATTCTGTACTCTGGATATCGACACCTCCATTGGAAAGTGGATTGGCTTCCAGATTCTGGCTGGATCTGCCATCGCATTCTCTGTTCAGAACGGCCTAAACATTGCCCAAGCCAATGTGGGCCCAGAAGATATCTCAGCTGTCACAGCCAACCTTTACTGTATGTACCTCTTCCGTAAGTATCCGAAAGTGAAACTAACAGAATATATAGTCTTCCAAACAGTTGGAGGTGCATTCACCACCGCAGCGGGACAGGCGGCATTTATCAACCAATTGTTGGCCCATTTGCCGATCAGCGCCCCTCAAGTGGACCCGGAGCTAGTTAGTTCAACAGGTGCTGCACAGCTCCGAGATGTGTTCGGTCCGGATGACCTTCCCGGCATTCTTATTGCCTATATGCAAGGACTGAAGACTACCTTTGCAGTTGCAACTGCGCTGTCTGGCTTTGCCTTTTTGTCTACATTCATCATCCCCTGGAGCAAACTTCCGACACATACCCCCGATAAGGATGACAAGAATGCCCCCATGATAATGCCTTGATCTCGCCATCATCGTAATGTATACAACGCTGGACGAAAATTGAACTGGAATGTATCGCTGCCGTGACAGAGCTGAGAGTTGGGGGCCGTGGTCATCGGCAGCGAATTGGTTTTGACTACTACAAATTGTGAGAGCGGTTTTATTGCAACTAGTGTATAGAATAGATATTTGTTTTGTCTCTGTCCCTCTGTTCTCCTCTGCCTGATGTATATTTCTGGATCCAGTTAACAGCTATCGTCAAGACATGCTTCTATACTATCTTAGTCTAATACTTAGCTGCTTGGCGCACGAATGAAAATCCCAACGATCCGACAGACCCACACTTTGATATTGACCCCAATGTGGGGGTATAATCCAGCCAGTGAGAACACCTCACTAGATAGTAGCGTGGGGAATTCCGTGTGAAGTCGTGAAGATAGGAAGTCACCTGCCCTGGTAGTTTCTGTCCGCTTCTACCAACACTCTTACACTTGACTACCTGACCAAGCCATGGATGATTCAAAGCCAGTTGACCAGATATTTACTAAAGCGCTGCCAAAGATCGAGGTATGATTGGTGTCTCATTCTGGTCTTGTTTACTGACTAGATCACACTTCAGCTGCACGCCCATCTCAGCGGGAGCATTAGTCGCCAATGCCTCCACGAAATTTGGAAAAGGAAAATAGAGCAGAACCCCGCTTTTGACGTTGAGGACCCACTGGTATTAATGCCTCCGGGCAAGGTCGATTATACACTGGAAACGTAGGTGTCCGTGTTTACACCGCACAATGTTGCGAAATCATCATGCTACAACCTAACAAAGGCCCAGGTTCTTTTCAACGTTTTCCAAGTTGACATACCAGCTCTGCAACGACCTAGAAAGCCTAGTATATGCCACTAACTCGGTTCTCGAAGACTTTCTCCGTGATGGAGTTGTGTACCTCGAATTACGGACCATACCGAGAGCATCTCCCGGCATCAATCGAGAGCAATACATCAACACAGTGCTAGACACAATTGAGAAATTTCGAACCAAAACTAGACTTATGTCTGTGTTTTTGATTCTCGCCATCGATCGCGGCAGTATGACAGCAGTCGAGGCGGACGAGATTATCAATCTTGCGATCGAACATAAGCCGCGCGGAGTGGTGGGGGTGGATATCTGCGGCAACCCAACCAAAGGCGATGTCAGCATCTACAAACAACCGTTTTCAAAAGCCAAAGCCAATGGGTTAGGAATTACTCTTCACTTTGCTGAGACAACAGCCTCGGCTTCTGCGAGCGAGCTGTCGACCCTTCTTTCTTTCCAGCCTGACCGACTGGGCCATGTCATCCATGTCCCTGACGAGATCAAGAAGGAGATCGCGCGGCGCAAGCTAAGCCTCGAACTGTGTATTTCTTGCAATGTTCACGCGAAGATGATTAATGGTGGGTTCATGGATCATCATTTCGGTTACTGGCGACATGAGGACTGTCCTATTGCACTCTGTGTAAGTTATTCCAATCAGGATTGTGTTCTTTTTGGTTTTTCTTTCCTGACGTGATTTCTGCAGACTGATGACGTGGGATTTTTCTGTAGCCCCGTGTCAAATGAGTACTTGTTGGCCGCACAGCATTTTGGTTTGAGCCGTACTGATCTCTTGGACATGTGCACCAAGTCGGCAGATGCAAATTTCGCTGGTGAGTACTACAAAGGGAGAATCCAGGGTATGCTTGAAGGATTTGCTACGCGTTTTGACTCTGTATGAATGTATTGCCTCCTTGGACATGGAATTTTGTTATTCGAAGACGTGAATAATCGGCCTTTTTTTTTGTTATGATGATCAAGGGTTATAATAAGAAATTTAAACAGAATGATATCTGAGAAGACTAAAATACTGAAAAAACCACAGGGTATTCTTATCTGTTATATAGCAAGGATGTTGACGCTATACCTGATTAGGGAGTCTACAATCAGCCTCAGAAATATCTCCCCCCTTAACCTCCTTTCTTTTTTTGTCCATTTCAAATTGTCCATCTTAAAGTGTGTGTTTACATTGTTTACATTTTGTTATTAATCCCCCCACATATCAGCCCCACATTTCAATTTATAAGGTTCTCAAAATTCAGAACTTCAGATGCTCAGGAACATCAATCGATTAAAGCCCATAATCATGGCAAATGGAGCTCTCCCACAGACTCTCAAGGCTATCACTGCCACGAAAATCAATGAACTTTCCAAGCAGCGGGCCTTATTTGATCAGCGCAAAACCGAGATCCTTGCCGTTGCGAATGGAGCCCCAGATCTACGCGCCCGTGCTCAAGCTTTGCTGGATGGGATATCACGTCTGAAAGGATACCCCAAGGACACGCTTGACAAAAATGACGCGGATTTAGATGCTGAGTCCGCGGATGAGTTGGAAGAGAAACTCACTCCACGAGGGGTCGGTCGTTTACAGCCAGAAGATCATAAGAACATGCGCCACGTGCTTCTACAAGGTCGCTACGACCATTCCATCTCCCAGGCAGCTTTGAAGGATCGCATCGCTCAACTTGAAAAGGAGTTGCAGTATCTTGAGATAAAGCATAAACATGGCGATTTCTATAGTAAATTGGTTACGGAGTGGCTGTCGGAGTTGGATGGAAGCATTGCTAGCACTGCAGATGAAACCAAATCCACTGACTCCGACCCAAAATTGGAAAAAGCTGGACGGGCAGAGATGCACGAGCAACGCGCGACTTGGGAGTCCTTCGTTTTTACTCCTGCAACCCACGTCAGCGAAGATGCAATCCAGTCCTACCTCAATGATCTTTTCATGAAAACCAACCTTTCTCAACAGGCACTCAAGGATCTCCGAGTAAGTATCCAATTATTTGGAACAGAACTATTCTCGAAAGGCGATTGGCTCGATTTGGATGAACTCAAGTGGGTGTCTCAGGCGCTGATCAAGAGCGACCTACTTGGTGAAGAAAAGACCGCCATTCTGAAAGAATTCATGCGTAACGACGAAGTTGCCCAGGAAGTGGCAGATGTGCTCAACATGCGTCTTGCCTCGCTCGAGAGCTGGACCTGGACTGGAGCCGTAGATGGTATTCCCGTTGAACTGCGCCGTCAGCTCAACGGTAAATACCGGGCTTTCATGGATGAAGACCTTCTCGACGCTCTTATGCTACAGTATCTTGGTACAACCTGGGCCGTGAAGTTGCGAGAGGTATTCGTGACATTCCTAGGTTCCAACGCCTGGAAGGCTCCACATGAGGATATCCCGGAAGATCATAAGGAAATGCGCAAGTACTTCCTTGGCCGATATGCAAACTCGGACTCTGGTAAGATCAATGAGATTCGAAAGCGGACATACACCGAAAATTATTTCATGACCCAACTGCCCGCTTCAACCGAAGAAGGTGCACGACAGTATGATGACGAGGGGACCAAAGCAAAGAACGCCCTGGATACAAAGCACTCCCTGCTGCACCTCCTAGTCACAGAATCTATCATCCATAAGCATCAGCATGGGGGCTTTACTGCAGTCCGCTCGGACTTTGAGTGGTTTGGCGCTTCAATGCCCCATGCCACTCTCCTCACCGTACTGAAATTCTTTGGGGTTTCCGAGCAATGGCTCAAGTTTTTCCTGTTGTTCCTGGAGGCTCCGCTCAAATTTGCCCAAGATGGACCTCAGGCCTCCATACAAGTTCGCAAGCGTGGTCTTCCAACCAGTCATACACTAAGTGATTGCCTCGGAGAGTCTGTTCTCTTCTGTATGGACTACGCAGTCAACCAAGCTACAGACGGCGGTTTCCTGTACCGACTCCATGATGATTTCTGGTTCTGGGGGTCCGAGAAAACTTGCGTTGAGTCATGGCAGGCAATGGAGCATTTTACTAAAGTTATGGGTCTGAAGTTCAATCAGGAGAAGACTGGAAGTGTGCGGATGGGGCTGAATAAAACCTCGAAAGAGTCGGCTCTTCCCACCGGTGATATCCGCTGGGGCTTCCTGGTTCTGAATGCGGAACAAGAAAAGTTCATAATCGACCAGGCCCAGGTTGATAAGCATATTGAAGAGCTTTCACGGCAGCTTTCATCCTGCAAGAGTGTGTTTGCTTGGGTACAGGCATGGAACAGTTACTTCGGCCGCTTCTTCGCCAACAACTTTGCAAACCCAGCCCTTTGTTTCGGTCGGGACCATATCGACATGGCCATTTCCACCCTGAGCCGCATCGAGCGCACACTATTTAACAAAACCTCAGACGATAAGAGTCCATCTGCCCAAATCAGTGGTGTCACCGACTATCTACGCACTGTAATCGCTGATCGGTTTGACATGCACGATCTCCCCGATGGATTCTTCTATTATCCCACCGAACTCGGCGGCCTGGAGCTCCTCAATCCCTTCATTAGACTTTTTGCAATGCGTGAAAACATCAAGCAAACCCCCCGGAAGCTACTGCACAAGGCTTCGCTAAGGGACGAGAAGGAATATGAGGAAGCCAAAGCGAATTTCATAAAGAACGGCGCTGATGCTAGGGGCCAATTTGGGAAAAAATGGAGCAACGAAAAGAAGCCATTCATGTCCCTAGAAGAGTACACCCGGTATCAAGAAACATTCAGCGATTCCCTTGCTGGCGTGTATCTGAAATTGACCATGGTGCCGAGCGAGACGAGTATGGAGCGGACTTGGGGCTTTGAAAGGGAGCAAAGATTCCTTAGTCAAAATTCCTCTAAATGCTCTATCAATGATTCCTGGTACACAATGACGCCGTACTGGCGCTGGGTGGCAGAGTTGTATCGCGAAGAGATGGCTCGTACTTACGGTAGCTTGGCTGCTGCCAATCGCGAGTTTATGCCCCTTGGTGTCGTGAAGACCCTCCGGGAGGGTAGATTCAGATGGCAGGGTTGATTGAGATAGTTGATTCCAATTGCTGGTGGTACTATGGCTTCATGGCTTATGACTTTTGGATGATGCGGAGCAAATGTACTCCGTTGGACAATTAGTTCTCTCTACTCTATGTACTCTACTACTCTCTACTCTATATTCTAAATATTAACATGGCACATATAATGCCTTCATGCAAGTCTCTTTCATAATATAGATTAAACAAGGACTATCTATATATTGTACCCCGCATATCGCTATTCTTCCCGCCTATACAAAAGCAGCTCTGGAAGTCAGCACATCAACAAAGATAAGGCATATTTGTGTTCTACGCCGAATCCCGAGGGTCACTATGCTAAACTCTCAAAGGAAGATGATGCTAATATCCTATTTATTAGGAATGGGTTTTAGGGGTGGATCAACGCCTTGCGCTTTCACCTAGCCGTGATTGTTCGTGAAATCAGCTGATACTGAGGTCATCAAATAGCTATCCAAGCATACCTAATAGGTTGGCAGATCGAATTCTCTCAGGATAGGGGTAGCAACATCTGAACAGAATAGTTAGTACACAAGGGTAACCGCTTATTCGATCGGTTGCTCGGGACGACGCACTGAAGACTCCTGCAGTGATAAGCGTGGCTCAGTTGCTCCTCCAGCCAACCTTACTCCCCCCGCTGGAACAGGAACAAGAGCCATTGTGCCAGCCAACCCTCTTCCCACCTCTTGGACCTAAGAGGTGAAGGAAAGTCGATAGGTATTGTTGTCTTGTTTAGACATGAGAAACAAAAGCGAATAGTCAGAGTGATAGGCAACAATATAATCTCTACTTGTGCGGCTCATTTGAACGATTTTACACTATTATCACCTTTATTCAAAGGCAATGGCCTATATACGATGTACAAAGCGTGGTTCAATAGTCTGGATCCTATACCTGCATGTGGTCCAACGATTCGCCAATGCGTATAGTAATGAGCTTGTAGACTGATGCTGGTCATCCGCTACATATATCAAGCTACTCAGAACCATCTCGACACCTTCACTTCCCCAAACTTTTACCCCGACATCGTTCACGCAGCTGCGTAAGCTCTTACTCACCTCGTGGCAGCTCCCTCACCAATCTCAACATCCCCCGCACTCAAGAGCTCCCTCCCCACTGGACAGTATCATTATTCCCATGATCCAACTATGGTTCTTGGCCTCACCTTCACCTCACCCGCATATGCCGTCCCTCCTCCATTCCATACTTCTCCTTACGTGCCGCAGTGATAGACCCAGGCACAGCATAATGGACACTGATACGGGGTGCCCCAAAATCAGTATCACTTCTTCCTCCTTATTCTGGAGGCCAACAAGGTCCATCTCACCAAAGCCTTCCATCACTATGATGTATGCATACTTTTCGTGTTTTGTTCTCTTGAATATAAGGTTTCGTGCAGTCGGAGCGGTGCCTGACTTTGAGATGTACTTTCCTTCTTGCGGTGCCCGTGACGCTCTTGCCATCATCTCCGAAACAGATTTCGTCCCAGCAACCATGGATGTGGCCCTAATTTATCTCTATCAGGGAAAGTACACTCCAATTATGAGTTGAATTCTACGGAACTTGAGGCCGACTCTCAAGAAGGCTTAGTTCTCTAATGATGGTCTATATATACGTCCTTCGAATCCATTTTTCTTCATCTTACTTCTCACTTCTTCATGTACCTCCTCTCACTATCAGATTTTCCTACCATAGGTATATATTAAATCTACTTCAAGTATACCTCAACTGGCCATTATTATAGAGTATATTGTATACTCGATCAACCACAGGAGATACACCACAGCCACCTACAATCCCTTCGAATCCTTTCACACAAATTACCAAGGGCTATATACAGCATAGCACCATGACGTCCGTGGAAGGCTACTACGAACAGCCCGAGGACTCCAACTGGCTCGATGCCTTCTCCGGAGACAACGGGAGCATCGACCCAAGGTAAGTCCATTACATATAGATATCTCACACGTCCAAATAAGTATTAACATAGTTTACAGGACACTTGAGATCCATCAGGTTGAAGTCCATCCGGTGGTCATTACCCACAACATCACCCACCACCCCTACCAAGCCTCCCGATCCGAAAAACAACCATCTCCTCGGTTATCCCGACGTTCCCGTTCCTCCCTCGACTTACAAACGCTGGGTATAATGAAGCTGGAACACGAACCTCCAGTCCCGACAATCCTCAGCCAGCCGTCTCTTCGTCGACTACATAGTGTAATCGCCAAACACACCCCAAGGCAGAGATTCACAGATTTCTACTATGAAGAAGGGGACTCCAGCTCACTAGCCACGACTGTGACTGACTCGGAGTACGAAAACTGTCTGCTCCCATTCTGTGGGGCTTTACCACAACCGTCCGAGAAATCCTCTTTCACCGCCACTGCCTCCTCACCATCGCCCTCTTCGTCTACCGTAAAAGAGCCTCAGTGGTTGCCTCTTGTGGTTGTGCAAGTTGTATCGAGGAAAGCCCGCAAAGCATGTCGGGCCTTCAAGAGGAGATTCTTTCGGGGATCCTAAGAGGGATTTAATGCATATTATGATGTCTGTTGCTTCTGGGTTTCAGATATACTGTGTCCGCGCTGGAATATGTGAGAAAATATGGGGTACTCTTTCCAGCTGGGGGACTTATCCCACAGGGTTTCAACCCAGTTGGTTTTAACGAGGCCCCAACTGATGTATATATATCACCGTTATTTTTGTTTTGTTTCAAGGAATGTTGGTATTTGTCTAAAGTTGATACCCTGTATGTTTAGATTTTGCGTGGAGAATAAAGATATAATCAATTTTTTTCAATACCAGATCTTGAAGACGTAGAAGCATCCCTAAGATTTTGTTAATGAAGTGTGAAGTGAAGATATAGATCGAAGGCGGTCGGTCCACCTGCCCCGTCTTATCTCGGCAGAGTTGCCTCTCCGCCATAAAGCCACCATGAACAACTGCGGCCACAGCGCATCATCAACAACACCCCATTTCCCTTGAACCAATTCCCCCACAACAGCCAACATGGATCCATTTTCTGCAGAGGGCGGTAAGCGTTCCATTCCGTCCTACACCTCCGATCAAAGCTAATCAAGCTTCCCCGCAGAGCTCCTCAACATCCACAGCGCCTTCCACTCCGGCCAATACCAGAATGTGATCGACTTCGAGACCTCCGCGCTCTCCCCCGAGAACCAACTCCCCGCCCAAGTCCTCAGACTCCGCGCCCAGATTGCCCTCGGCCAATACGAGGAAAGCCTCGCCGAGCCCTCCATCGAGGAGGACAGCCCTGACCTGTCGGCCGTCAGGGCCCTGGCTCTGCAGTCCGCTGGAAAGACAGACGCTGCCCTGCAGCTCGCACAAGAGCTCGCAGAGAACTACCCCGAAAACAATACCGTGCAGGTTCTTGCTGCTACCGTGCTCCAGGCCCAGGGCCACAGCGAGGAAGCGCTGGCGCTGCTGTCCAAGCACCAGGGTAACCTCGAGGCGTTAGTACCTCCGTCGCAAGCAGACTGCTATATGCTAGGATATATTGATCTGACAATATGTCTATATTAGTGTCTCCCTCATCGTCCAGATCCACCTCCAACAAAACCGAACCGATCTCGCCCTTAAGGAAGTTCAGTCTGCCAAGCGCTGGGCTCAGGATTCGCTACTAGTCAACGTTGCCGAGTCGTGGGTTGGATTGAGAATGGTATGTTGATGAGGAATCTATAATATTCTAGTCAGCGGTCTATGAGTGCTGACTTTTGTGTTTCTACTTTACAGGGCGGCGAGAAGTACCAGTCTGCTTTCTATGTCTACGAGGAGCTCGCCTCCGCACCTGGTACCTCCGCACCGCTATCTATCGTCGGTCAGGCCGTCTCTGAGATCCATCTGGGTCGTCTCCCCGAGGCCGAGGCCGCCCTCACCTCCGCCCTTGAGAAATACCCCACCGACGTGGAATTGATTGCCAATAGCATTGTTTTGAATGTGTTGGCTGGCAAGCAGACTGAAGACCTGGAGTCGTATGTTGTCCCGCCCTGGATCCGTTTAAAGTGCCAGTCCACTCGGTGCTAACTACTATCTCTCGTCTAGCCGGTTACAGCAGGTCCAGCCCGCGCACCCCCTTATCACCGATATCCAGGAGAAGAGCGAGTTCTTCGATACTGCGGCAGCTAAATTCTCTGCTAAGGTTTCATCGTAGAATAATCTGAATGCTGCTCCATATATTTGTTTTGTTTAATCCGAGTCAGGGGAGCCTATCCTGCTTGTGTATGAAAAGACATGACCTCTCATTTTTGAAACTGGTACCATATTTGGATTCCATGTCTCCAATCTATGATTCGGTATGAGAGGAACAAGACCAGTTCCTGTCCATCTACTTTAATAAGTATGTGGTAGGAAATAAATCACAGCCGAGCAGCCAGCCACTGTCGCAACTCCGTTCCAGTCTGAGTCTGCTCCTTGGCCATAGTGTAAAATGGTGCATCATGCGACTCATCTTCCCCAACAACAACAGTAATCTCCTCATACACAGACTTAATCTTCTTCGCAAACTCCTGAATAGGCGAAAGCAAGATCTCATCCCCACCAACAAGAACCAAAATCTTCTCCGTCTTGACATCCCTCCACCACTCAGCCGGTGCATTAAACGGCTCATTCCAATTATCCGCCGGTTTATCCGCCCGGTAAGCAGTAGACCACCGATTCAAAACAGAGGTCGTAACAATATCCTTCCACTGATTCTCCTTCATGGAAGGCCAATCCGTACTAAAGTTAATCCACGGCGCGTATGTAAATGCGCCCGCCAACGATGCCGACAGAGCCAAAGGCTCGATCTCAGCGTGCGGGTGAGACAGGTGCAGCAGTGTCGCAGCAGTGAGGTTCCCACCCGCGGAGTCACCGCCGATAATCACGTTGGCTGGTGAGCGGCCAGTCTCGTTGATGATGTAGCGCAGGGCCTCAACGGCTTGGCGGAGTTGGGTCGGATATGTCGCGTGTGGGGTTAGCGTGTACCGTGGGAAGAACACGGCTAGGTCGTGGCCGGTTGCATTCAAGGCGTTTAGCATCTCCAGCCAGAAATCAAAGTACGCCGCAATGGCGGGCATGGCGAAACCGCCACCTGTTTGTTATTAGTATTTTGGTCTGTGGGTGTAAATTGCTAGGCATTTTTAATGCAGAGATTGGGGACGCACCGTGATAGTATACAATCACGTTCTTGGCACTTTTATTTCCCAGCCAGTGGCCCTCTGCGCCATGAGGCAGGGTGACGGTCTCGGGTTCGAGACCACGCTTCTTCATGACGGTTTCATAGACCACTGAAGTTGGGGGAGTGAGGTACCTGTGCGACAATACATCAATATCTTGTCCATTGTCATTTACGGATTTTTGTAGTTTAGTGTGCAATACTTGGAGGGTGGAATAATTGGAGGGAACACACTGTGTCTGCCGATCTGACCTGCGATCAACCAATTTCCGAATCAAACCTGATAGAACATGGTGATCATAGCGTTTGGGGCTGGCTTTACCCCGGAAAACACCAGTAATGGCAGAATATACCATGCTGGCGAACACCGACAGGTGCAGGAATGGGATATCTGCCTTTTCCCAGAAGCCAAGCTCGGGGACATCGTGTTTAGCCATGATTTCTGAGATTGAGTGAAGTGCACTAAAGAGGAGAAGATGAGGGCTGAGTGTCGACTTTATAGTTCCCCCGCTTCTTTGCAGTCCTCCTGTGGGGCATGCAGGAGCAGCACCCGGCGATGATTGGTTTTGCACCGATCTGCATCGTGATATCTCCAGGGGTACAGATTTAGCGCCGAGTTCGGCGCTTCAATGGCGTTTTAAGGGGATCTTGACTTGATTTATAATCGGATTTGGGATTGAACTTACTGTATAGGAAAGGTTATGGGGAAAACTATGTAGGAATTAAGCAAACCAAAAACACGGAGGTTGGGAACCATACCTAGTAAGAAAGCAGAGGTAATTCGGACGAATGGAGAAGATATCTATTATGAGAACAGGCTAATAAATTGGAGATACGCACCTGTGCTACTTCCTTCGAAAAATGTAAAGATACCAAGATGCTCTACGTGGAGGTCTGCTTATATATGAGAAGGAAGCACAGCCTACTTACCTCTAATTCATGTATCAGGCTGAGCAGCTGATCTTGTTTGGCCAAACCCTATGTTTAGGGATAGAGTCGCACCCACCTACTAATCACAACGCACAACGTAGGAGGAATGGGAAAGGCGGAAGCACAGTGTCCCAGGACTCACTCACTGCCATAGAAAATGTGAAGCGTAGCGACTGGTGATACATGTCTGGTCTTAGTAGGAGGGACTGTGAGGCTATGGACAAATTTAGCAAGCGGATTGGACTTGAAAACAGGCAGAAACATCTCATGGCTTGAAAAGTGCAGCTTCATGCTTCAAACTCTGCCGTTCTTTGGGCCTGCATCACTGCCACACGTCGTTATGCCGCCTAGAGATTATATTAGATGTGCTGGCCACAAGAACGCCTTGCGGGATTCAAATTCTATCACTTAATGCGGGTTGATATGCTTAGTGTAAGCATTGTGATGAGTTGAGAAGGTGTGAACATCCCGGGCCCTGTCCTAATACGTGCTTAAATGACCCTGATATCGCGATTCTGTTATTGGATTCTTTCATAGTTTTGTTATTTAATTATTTCGCACAATAGTATCATCCATATCACCCATGCGGACGTCAAAGGTTTGCGCCGATGCTAGGACGAGGTGTTTCATCTTGACGCCACAGATTAGAATATGACAACTTAGTTACCATTGACCTAGTTTCCCTCACCGGTCGCAGTCAATTCACAGAATGCCTTATAGGTCGTGAAGACATCATCATCACCCTCACCACTGCCGGTGTTCTCAATCACACATTCAGCAGTAGCGCCCACGAAGAAAACATAGCCCTCCTTGACCTCCTCAGTCTTATTACCGACAGTAATCTTGCCCTTGCCACGTGTGCAAATCAGGATACTGGGGCCATCAATGGGGTCGAAAGTGGCCTTGGCACCAGTCCGGTTTAAGTCGGTCTTGATAACGCTGAACTCGTCGATAGGAGGGTCGTAGAGCATCGCGGACGAGGCACTAGAGTAAGCAGTGGCGTTCAGGACGACATATGGGTAGTCGGTTGCCTGGAGCTTCTGCTCCTCAATTGGTGCGTAGGAGTAAGTCAGCATCTGGGTGAGGGTGTTGACATCCTTGAATTTCGGGGTGAAACCCGCTCGCACCACGTTGTCGGAGGACGCCATGCACTCGATGATATCACCGGAGATGTACGCGTGGATGTCATCTGCCTTCAGGAACATGGCCTCACCAGGCTCCATCTTGACAAAGTTGAGGAAGAAGAAGATGAAAAGACCGATGTCGTTAGGGAACTGTCCGTTCAGACGCTTGGCAAGCGCAGCCAGCTCGGCGGGGTTGGTAGGGTTGGTCTCGACCTCACCTGACACGGTTGCAAAGCTGTTGGGGTTGTTGTCTGCGGCCGAGATAAGGTCCTTACAGGCGGTCTCTATCTTCTCGGATGACGACTCCATCAACGTGGTGAAAAGGGAGCGTAGCGCTTCCTTGTTCTTTTGGATGACAGCAGGGTCAACTGAGTTCTCGTTGCCTTTGACAAGCTGCTCGAACTCACTCGCAGCCTGGTTGCCAACAAGGGTGCGCAGAGGCTCTACGGCCTTGAGGAAATGAGTGATCTCCGCGAGCGGACGGAAGCCACACAAACCCTCGAACGGAGTGATGGCAATAGTCATCTCGGGCTTGTGGTTGTCATCTTATGATTTGTTAGTAACATTTTCGGGTGTTTTCTTATTACTGTGATCCCAAGTAACACTCACCGGGATAGTTCTTTGGGTCCCGGGCATGGAGCTGCTCGGCGAGCTTCTTGTTTGGATGGGCCTGGATGCTGAGCGCTTTACGGATGGAAAGGACCTTGAACAGGAACGGAAGTTTACCTCCAAACCGTTCACTGATCTCCGTCGACAGCAGGGCCTGATTATCCTGGACCATGTCGAGGAGGGTACGCTGAGTCTCGACATCTTTAGAGGGAAGAGACGGATGTGTGCCCATCCAGAGCTATGAATGTTGAGCTCATCATGTTCAATATTAGACTTGAGGTCTCACTTACTTCGGCATAGGGTTTCTCGGCTTCAATTGCAAAATCCGGGCCGGATGTTGTGGCCGCATACCTGGCCGCAGCCGATTCTTGGCCGACCTTGCCTACGGGATATTAGCGCGGGGCATAGAATATTGTCGTACTAACTTACCCCAGTCGTAGCTATTGACGCCTAAGGTAAAAGATATCAGCCATGTTGCTTATAGAGTACCTCCAAAACCTACCGCATTGCAGCCGAAGTAGTGGTACCTGCATCTTGAAATGGATGTTTTGGAGGAAGAAAAAGTGGAGGGGCAATCAGTTCCAGGATATTAGAAATACCCCGCCAAGACTTCGGTGAGTGATGCTGGGCAGGGTATATTGTCTTTATAGTACTATGACGCACTTTTGAGACCTCTAATAGTTAAAGGTTTGATCCCGTGGCATTTCGAGATATTCCCGGCTTTTGTTTCTGGATTGTACTCCGTACGGAGCATCCCAATCGGTCATTTACTTCCGCAACCATCTTACAAATTTGTATGTTGTATAACCAGATTACATAGCCGCATTAAGACATGATAATTGAACACATGTGAATAAGCTTATGTTTTCCCAGAGGATATCACAAATATAAGACCAAGAACTATCTTGTACCTGATTCCAACTGTGAATCGATGTACCTACGCCATGTCCCAAAGTAGTTTAGCGTGTTAACCCCGACCGCCCAGAGCCCTCTTATCACTGCATCTCCAACACTTTCAAACAAACAACTTGTTGCTCCAAATCTGGTCTCATTACCTAGAGGTTCTGGCCAGTAGTAAGCCGATCCTACTATCCATACCCTTATTTAACCCCTGTTGGTAAACGGGATGTCTCGCAACCGCCCCCGACCCAGAGACAACGGCTTCGGCAATAATGAGGAATTGGAGCTCTGGACCAAGATCTGCCAGGATATTCGAAAATCTAAAGAGAAGTTCGATCAGCAGACTTCATTGTCCTTGCAGATTAAAGGTCTAGTAGACAAAATCGCCCATGATGGTAACCGTGAGTGTTCCCCCGCACTACATCCCTCGGCTCTATACCCGCCACCGCAAAGCTCCAAATTGCGCTTGGCTTCCAATTAATCCGATCAAATTCAAATTAATTATTAATCGCATGTACTAATAATGCGCTTCTAAATAGAACCAACTATGGCTGAACACGATCAACTCGATAGCTGGCTCCGCCTTAGTCAAAAGCTCAGCGAAGATGAGCGTTCGATAATGCAAGACGAGCCATGCGACGTAATCAAAAATTTAGAACTGCTCACAGCATTGCGCAAGGCATCCGAAGCCGAAGCGCCTCCAAATCGGTCAGCGTCGTTCAACAAGTCTCGCAAGAAAAGAAATGAAGTCGAAGGTTCGGTGACCGACTCCCCCAGTGCCTCGGGGGCTGACAAGTCCGCTCGCTCAAAGGGGACCGTCCCACGCAGCGCCAGCGTCTCATCAAGCACGCAAGCCCGCGAAGGGGGCCGTCAGGATAACGTCATGGTCAAGATCGAAGAAGGGTCGTCGGAAGGGACTAAGGGCACGGTTGCAGAGAGGAATGGATTATTGGTAGTTGGGGCTCAGGTTGTGTTCAAACACAACAAGAATAAACAAGGTGTCGAAGGCGAGGGGATCCAGTGCATAATCAAGGCTGTTAATGGCGAAGGACCAAAGAAGCGGTAAGTTACGTTGAGTCGTTTCCGTTTCGTCTCGATTTACATTGACTGACGCGTCATGTCTGGTTAAGATATGATGTGCAGGACCCCGAGCCGAATGAGAATGGTGAGCAGGGGGCGGTTTACAAGACAACCGCTGCCTCTCTCATACCCATTCCTCAGCTCAGCACCCACTTGGCTGCGTACCCAGCTGGCAAGCAGGTCCTCGCACGATACCCGGACACTACCACATTCTATCGTGCGGAGGTTATGGGCGCACGGAAGGATGTCTATCGCCTCAAGTTTGAGGGTGAAGAAGACGATAAAGAGATGGAGGTCGACCGGCGATTTGTGCTGGATATTCTGGGCAAGTAATCTCAAGCTGTTTCTACGATCTGATGTGATGATGATACCATTTAAGCGCGGCGCTATCTGGAGTTCGAAGGCCTACCATGGATATGGGGTGCTTTCATCTTGACTAGATACTTTCCAAGGTTAGCTAGAAAGACCAAATTCTTTTTTTGACATGAGGATAATTCAACTTTTACATTTGACACCACATAGCTAAGACTGGGACGCTAGCAACAAGCCATAGCTCCAATATATGTTGATAACCGTATTTGCTGAATAGATATTTTATATGGATCCATTGTTGCATCTTAAACGAGTTACTCTAGCCTTCGAAGTAGCGTCGAGGGGTTGCACATAGTAGATGTCTACAATATAAGAGGCTTTTGTATACCACTTCGCGAAGCTTATATATCAAGAGCTAATCTAACTCCCACTCCCATCATGCCGCAGAATCTCGACTCCGATACTGTGACCCTGAACGGCGATGCAATAGAGCTCCTGTACTGGGGTGATGCCGATGGCCTCCTCACTGCAGAGCCGAGGTTACCGGAGTTTGATGGCACATACTACCTTCTATTCTCGACGAACATGTCTAACTAAAACGGACAAGTATGACCTAAAATATGGCTTCCATACATTTGCAATGACTACGGCGTTAATCATGGATGTGCCTCTGTGTCACTTGAACACTGGTTGCGTGATCGATTGCCGTGATTGTTTACTTTTTTCCTTCCCCGATGTCGGCTCCCATGTTGTTAGATTGATATAACTATGCAATTTGAGAACGATATGCAATTCTTGTGTGACTTCGGGCCAGAACAAGTCAAGATTTTCATGCAATGGTGTAATTGTAGATCAAATAAGGCTGATCCTTCGAACCTATAAAATCCTGAGTGGTAAAACAGTTCTGTTGGTGAACCAGAGAATGTGCTAGAGTAAGCAGTGACATAGAGATGAGTCAGCCTCCTTCTCCTCATGCCGAGGGAGCATAGCCGGACCATAGTCTACTTCGCAATTAAAACTTTCCATTGAACAGATTTTGTTTTGTATTTTCGTCAGATGCATCTACGCCATACATTCCCTACCCCTGCACACTAGAGCTTTTACAGCGAGCCTCACGCGCCACACCTTCCGACTACCCCGCCTCTCCGCCGTCGCAATGACCGACCTACCAGCCCACGCCTCACCAAAGCTCACCCCGCATTCCCTCCCGAGATCAGATGAACAATTGGATGATTCGGGTCAGGGGAGCATCGCAGCAGGCGAACAGACTCCGGCCCTACCGGGCTCATTGCTGTCGCCCGCATTCACCCCACCTGCGACCCCCGGTGGCACATTGAACTTGGATTTACACCCCACCGCGGTCCTTCACGCAAACCAAGCAGCAGATATCCACAATAAGAACCAGGAGGCTAAAGGCCCCAAGTTACTCCCGCAGCTCCCAGCAGTGGAATGTATCGTGCGAGCGCGAATCCCGACAACCAACGGAGCGGAAATGTTCTTACACCTATACCACAATGATTTGGACGGAAAGGAGCATTTGGCCATTGTATTTGGAAACAACATTCGCAGCCGGAGCTTGGACAGCGTCCGGCCCGGGGAGACCGAGATGGACCGAATGATCCGCGGCGCGTATGTTGGGAAATTGCACCCGGGTCGAGTCAGCAGCCGGTATGATGACGATTTGGCTGGGTCAGCCTCGACACCACAGCAGGTCGAGCCTCCGCTGGTGCGAATTCACTCGGAGTGTTATACTGGAGAAACAGCGTGGTCGGCGCGGTGCGATTGCGGCGAGCAGCTGGATGAGGCGGCGCGTTTGATGTCTTTCCCCGTTGAGGGTCTTTCCTCTGATGCGCCCCCAGAGGTCCAGTCCTTGTCATCACATTCGACAGGCGGTGTGATTGTTTACCTGCGTCAGGAGGGTCGTGGGATCGGTCTTGGTGAGAAGTTGAAGGCATACAATCTCCAGGATCTTGGGTCGGACACTGTTGAGGCAAACCTTTTACTCCGCCATCCGGCTGATGCTCGAAGCTATGGACTGGCTACAGCCATCCTGAAAGACCTTGGTTGTGGTGTGGATGCAATTCCAGAAGGAATTCGTCTACTTACCAATAACCCCGATAAAGTCCGGGCTATTGAGGGGCCCAACCGGGAAGTTCTCGTAAAAGAGCGGGTGCCAATGATCCCATTGGCATGGCGGACAGGTGGCCAGAGAGGAATTAAGAGCTCTGAAATTGAAGGCTATCTACAGACTAAGGTATGTCTACAAACTATTTGCTCGGTCTGGGATTGATACTAATACGGCTGTGATAGATCTCGAAAATGGGCCATATGATCCAATAATGCTTATAGCTTATCACTTTGAACTTTTGTCACTATCATTCCCCTTCTTGTCTGGCTTCTGCTTGCATTGGAACTTATAAAAGCCTTTGTATATGATCGACACGACCGAATCTTTTTCTTTGTGCATAGTCTTGATCCTTCTCCAAGGTTATATACGGCGCTGATAATTCTGTATATTCTTTTTTTTTTTTGTTCACAGGTGCTTTACTCCAGATTTATCCATCAGCTTCTAGAAATAGAGGGGTTTTCTCCCTAGATATATGGTTTTTAGATCAAAATATACATAGTAGGTTCCCCAATTGAATCTGATACAATAATATTACCCAGCATGAAACTTTAATCATTTCACATTCTTGACCCACATAGCCCCCATACATCTTACTCCAGAACTCTTCTCAACTTCCATTCCTCATTTCCACTGAATGGCTAATCTGAACTAGCGCGTGTGCAAGGCCATGGCCCGCGCTTCAAACACCAATGAGCATGTGGCGCCTTCGCCTGACTTGCCCGACTTGTCTGAACGACAGCCTAACCCCCTCGGCAGACCCGAGGACTCCCTTCCTTTCCGTGCGGCTTCGATAGACGTGGAGAGGACCTTGGATAATGGCACAACATCAGGACGCAAGCGAAAGCTGAATAGCATGTCATCAAGAGGCGTCGCCAATCTCACCCCAGATCAGTTGGCAAAAAAGCGGGCCAACGACCGCCAAGCGCAGCGCGCAATTCGTGAAAGGACGAAGGGGCACATAGAAGCTCTAGAGCAACAGGTCCGGGACCTCTCATCACAGAAACCCTACCTCGATCTCCAAGCAGCTCTCCAAGAGAATGATACGATTCGGTCGGAGAACGCAGAGCTCCGCCAAGGGCTTAAGGCGGCAATGGACATTCTCCAACCATTGATAGCCAAGCCAGAACTACCAGGTTAGTTATGCATCCCAATAAAATCAAAGTCTCAAGCTGATAAAGAAAGGTCCATCTCTGGCTATACCCAATCTCGTCCCGCCTCCTTCGCATGCATCCCCACTACCCGATACCGATCACCTCACCCCCAATAGTCAGCCACTTCTTCCAGGCGATAAATCATATGCCGAGTCTATTGCCAGCCTTGATACGCCTTCCCCGACACATTCTGCACCTACTCTTGGGAGTCGCCGCAATAGTACCAATGGTCCTTCACCGGCCTCTCTTCGTGTCGCATTGGACTCGCAACGCCATAATATCACCCACGGCCTGAACCTTGGCTCCGAGGAGCGTCTGGGGTTTAATTTCCTTCTGGATGCCTCGCATACTGTCCCTAAAGTCGACCGGCTACATCGCAGCAGCTCAGAAAACCTCCGCTGTCCTCCCCCGAATCCTCCTTCACCAATATACCCACATCCCTTGACTACTACCTCTGAAGGTGGGCCACCTGCATTCGCCGCTCCGATACAAAACGTAGCAGCGACATGTCCTTTGGATAATATTCTTCTAGAATTTCTTCAAAGCCGGCAACGCGAGGCTGCTCAAGGCATCCCTAGACAAAAGTTAGCCGGGCCACCGTACCCAAGTGTCTCCTCATTGCTGAACCCGGAGAGAAGTGTCTACTCCCATCCAGTCTCAAAGGTTTTCACAGATATTCTGCGTGCCTTTCCAGATATTTACTCTTTGCCAGAGCAAGTTGCTGTGCTCTACACCATGTTCCTCCTCATGCGCTGGCAGATTTACCCTACGCAAGAGAACTATGAGCGACTCCCAGAGTGGTTGACCCCGCGCCCAACACAAATTCTCCATCCACACCCTGCTTGGATGGATTACGTTCCCTGGCCTGGAATGCGTGATAGGATCATCACAAATTATCAAAACTACCCATTTGATAATTGGACGATCCCATTTACACGTGGCTTGAGTGTCAATTGGCCGTACGAGGATACAGACTGTCTATTGTCAGCCGGCGACTCGGAGGAGCTCGTCATCAATCCCGTCTTTGAGCGGCATATGAGGAATTTGTCTAATTGGTCCCTGGGGCTCAGCTTTGCGGAGACTTATCCATCTTTGGCAAACGCGGCACGAATCAAGCCGAAAGCACCGCCCAACACCTCATATGGAGTAGACTCACCAAGAGACTACAAACCCATTTAAGTGGGCTGCATTCAACCCATGTCCTACCTCTGCCAAGTTGATCTTGGTTCGTATGTTTCACATTCCGCGACCCATTTTGGCGAAAGGAAATCCTCGCTTTTAGGAAGTCAAATTGTTTATTTTTTTGGGTGTATCCTTTTTCTTAAGTCTCAATACAAGGCAAGGCAGAAGCATAGTGCGAGAAGGGCCACGGGTCACATGCTCATAAATGCCGTTTCTTAAGTCTCAATACAAGGCAAGGCAGAAGCATAGTGCGAGAAGGGCCACGGGTCACATGCTCATAAATGCCGCCAATGATATTTGGATTGATCATTTCGGTCTAGATGTTTAGACAAATAAATATCTCCATATCAATAATCACTCTGTGTCTTATGAGACACATTACTCTCTCCTGCTCTTCTCATTCCAAAACTCCAGACCAGCCTTCTGGCGCAATGTCCCGTACATCGCACTGCTGTCCAAACACTCTCCGCCATATTCTCTCGCGGCCTCCATGTTAGCCCGGGCGATTTCAAGGCCAGGAAGCTCAACACCGTGCTCCTGGGCCATCGACATGGCATGTCTGGCATCCTTAATAGCGAGGGAAACCCCAAAGCCGGGACGGGAGTCCAGGGACGGCGCATAAGCCCCCGTAGTCAACCTGGGGGAAAAACAAATAAGTATGAAGAGCCGTAATGCCAGCACCGAGACAACATTATAGCTCACCTTTTAGAATACCCTCCAGCAACAGGACCAAAAGCTTCACCAATGAGCTCCTCCATAGCACCAGTTCCCAGCCCAGTCTTCTCAGCAAATACCTGAGCCTCACCAACAGCCTCCATCATATAAACAGTAACAATGTTACCCGCGATTTTCAGAAGCGAGGCCTTTGTAGCATCCTCGCCACAATCAATCACACGTCGGCCCATCACATCCTGGATCAGCGGTTTAACGGCCTCAGTGGCACTCTTAGGACCGCCAATCGCGAAAACGAGCTTGCCATCCACAGCAATTGGGTTCCCGCCGAAGACCGGCGCTGCCACGTACGATGCATCCTTGCTTTTTAGCTGCGATACAGCCGCTCTGACGGTCTCGGGATGCACTGTTGAGCAGTCGACGAAGATCTTGTCCTTTAGAGACTGGCTTGAGCCCATGGCAGTCGATAGCAGGCTTTGGAGCACCGAGTCATTCGAGACCTGCAACAGGCTTAGAGCTACGTTGCTATTTTTGCCGATGGAATCGACTTACTATGGTGAAAATGATTCCACATTGAGACACCAGCTTCTCGAAATTGTGCTCTGGGACTGCTCCCAACGCTTGCAATGGTGCTCCGCGCTGCATTGTGCGATTCGAAAAGATTAGGCTCTTTCTAGCTAGATGGCGCTGCAGATTAGAGGCCATTGCCAGGCCCATGGACCCCAGTCCATACTGTTTGCTTAGTTAGTGTTTGTGTTCAGGACTGTCATGCTCTAGGGGTTACTTACCCAACCGATTTGTGGCATTGCTACTCGCTGTTTTCTCTGGGTTTGGATTCGAATGAGCGATGGTAATATCTATAGACAAGAGCTCATCAGTTCAAAAGAAATTCAGCGATGCGATAGGGATGGTGGAGCGCGTGTTTCCCGACCTCGGGATATCGGAGTCGGCCGACAGGAAGGTCTTCAAAGCTAATAGTTTCTATAGGTTAAAATTAGCCCTGTAGAGATTGGACTTTATTATTGTGGACATATAATTCTTCTCCTTACTCCGATTCTATACTTGGTGTAACTTTTTAGTGAAGTCCACGTGTACACCCCTTAATGTGAGGCGTTCATGTAGTATACTATAACCATGCGCATATATCATTGATTTCAGCGTTAAGCGAGTGCTCTGTCAATAGTCCAAAAGCTATATTTACACACAATTCCATATCCTCTGAGCTTGCTTGGTTCAAGAATGTGATGATGCGGTCACATACCGTCATGGCTGCGGCTCGCGCTCAACTGTGGGGGTGAATATCAGGTACGGTACGGTCACGTAAGTTATGATGCTCCGTCCGTCGTGGGCTCGACTTCAAACATCCCCAACACCTCCGCTCTCCCCTGAACCCTCCTAGTTCCGCTTATCTTGGGAGTTTCTAAATAGAATCCCAGTCTCGGACGGTACCCTTACTCCCAACCGCCAAATCCCCAATTACTCCAAGATGGCGGAAATGCCCATTGGTACACCGATTCCCCCAGGCTACCGTGTCCCAGCTCCAAGCTAACAAGCTACTCCGCAGTCCTCGATGGAGGAACCGGCTTTCTCAAGGTCGGCTATGCCGCCCAGGTATGTCGCACAGCCAGTAAAATCTGTCTATACTTTTCTCTAATTCAAATTCCTTGCCAGAACTTCCCAGAGCACCAGTTTCCCTCGATAGTGGGGCGGCCCATCTTGCGAACGGAGGAGCAGGGCGGCGACATCGTCGTCAAGGATATCATGTGCGGTGATGAAGCCGCCGCTGCACGATCAATGCTCCAGATCAGTTATCCTGTATGTATATGTCGGGGTTCGCCTCGCCTGCTCTACCCCGCCCTCTCCGCAAACCAGGCAAGTGTCTTGTCAATGCCTAACCTGTGCTGCTTTAGATGGAGAATGGAATTGTCAAGAAATGGGACGACATGCAACGTCTATGGAACTACACCTTTTACGAGAAGATGAAGATCGACCCCACAGATCGCAAGATTCTCCTCACGGAGCCGCCGATGAACCCGCTTAAGAACCGCGAGCAGATGGCCGAGGTGATGCTAGAAGGATACGGGTTTGGCGGCGTCTATGTGGCGATCCAGGCGGTGCTGGCACTGTATGCCCAGGGTATGTGATACAAGTCCAGGGCGTGCGTTCGGGATGAATGCTGATGTCATGTTATAGGTCTGAGCAGCGGCGTGGTTGTGGATTCCGGTGACGGTGTGACACACATTATCCCCGTGTACGAGTCGACCGTACTCAATCACCACATTAAGCGCCTGGATGTCGCCGGCCGCGACGTCACTCGCAACCTGATTGCCCTCCTTCTGCGCCGCGGCTATGCGCTGAACCGAACCGCCGACTTCGAAACCGTGCGCCAGATCAAGGAAAAGCTTGCTTACGTTTCCTACGACCTCGAGTTGGACAAAAAGCTTTCCGAAGACACCACCGTCCTCGTCGAGTCCTACACCCTGCCCGATGGCCGTGTCATTCGCGTCGGCAGTGAGCGATTCGAAGCCCCCGAGTGCCTTTTCCAACCCCACTTGGTTGACGTTGACCAGCCCGGTATGGCTGAAATGCTCTTCAATTGTATCCAGGGTGCCGATGTCGATGTTCGCTCCAGTCTATACAAGGCCATCGTGCTCAGCGGTGGTAGCAGCATGTACCCCGGTTTGCCCTCTCGTTTGGAGAAGGAGTTGAAGCAGCTCTGGCTCACCCGGGTATTGGGCGGCGACCCAGAGCGCCTGAACGTACGTCGAAGAAACCTGGTCAAACAATATCAATGCAACTTGGCTAATGATTTTCCAGAAATTCAAGGTTCGCATCGAAGATCCCCCCCGCCGGAGACACATGGTCTTCCTGGGTGGTGCTGTGCTTGCCAACTTGGTTAGTCTCGCTTTTCATTCCCATTTGACTCCAGCTCTTACTAAACCATTTTCCTCAGATCGCCGACAAGGACGACATGTGGGTAAGCAAGCAGGAGTGGCAGGAACAGGGTGCACGCGCCCTGGACAAGCTCGGCCCGCGATAAACGGATTGTATTTAGGCGGTTCTTGGTCTGCTCCTTTTTTCTCTGATTTCTTGCTTCGCATTGTTTGCAAGCCATGTTGCCTGGGTCTCTTTTTTCCTATCTTTCCTTCCCCCCATCATTGTCGATACACTCCAGTCCATCTTGTAGTTTTCCCTGTGTCTTCGCCTGCTTCCTACATTGTGCCTAGACTGGTCTGGCGCGGGTGGATTCGGGGCGTTCGTGACAGAAAAGAACGAAATATTTCTATCGGCTTTTCGGTATATGCCAGTTTCGTAGGATATGTACGTATGAGCTACATGTGTGTGGTTAAACTCATCATCATGATTGTACATATACAATCTATCGTCAACATCAGTATGCCGAGAAACAAAGGATACCCAATAATGCATCTCTCCTCTCTCTTCGCCATCGAAAAAGGAGCACCGACATCCCTGGGCAGGAACGTATGTATGAACTCAAGAAATCCGAAAATGGAAAATGCAGCACGCAAAACGCAACGAAACAAATGAGCAGTATCACAGAAGGAATTATGCGAAGGGTTCAAAAATGGAGAAAAAGAGAGACGAGCCAGCAGACAATCTCCAAACTAGTTCTCAACAGCCCCCGGTGAAACAGCCAAAATAACCGCAAGAGTAGCAATAATCAGTGAAGCAGCTATAAGCCCCGTAAGCGCAACACTACCCCGACTAGCCGGGAACTTCCCCCGAATAATCCAATACTGGCTCTGGAAGTAGCGGTGGAAGCCGATAGCAAGGATAATGATCGAGACGCCGATGAAAGTCGAGCCGAGTGGTTTACCCACACTACGAAGACGAGAGGAAGCAGAGGAGGCGTGGAATGCAGCTGAATCGTAGGCAGCCAAGGCGAGGTCAGGTGGGAGGATGCCCGGGTGTGGGCCGGATTCTGGGTCGAAGAAGTTGGCGTGTGTGCTTGTGGAGGCGCTGTTCAGACGGAAGAGTTGCGTTACTGCGATTCCGATTGAGGCGAACGCTAGGGAGGTGCGCATCCAGGCTAGGAAAGTTCGTTCTGTAGGAAATGAAGTGTGTTAGGGGGTCTATGCGGAATTTCAAGGTAGGCTGCGCATATCGTACCCAAGGCAAGGTGGTCGCGGGCAACACTGCCTTTGTTCTCTAGCTCGAGGCTGCCGTATCGATCTGCGAGTCGACTATACCAGGACTGGTGGGGCTCGGAAGTCGACACAGGTTTCGCTGGTTGATTGACATTTCCAGAGGTTGCATTATTTAGGCCGAAGTCTTTGAGCTGAGAGGCGGGTGCTCCCTCTGTGGACTGATAGTTGCGCCCCGCGGGACCAGCTCCGTTGATTGGTGTTGACTCGGTGGATTGGTATGAGCTCTGAACTGGGTTCTGGCTACGTGCATGGATTCGGGATGAGGAGCTTGAGTGGGACCGGGTGCTGCCGAGGGACGATGACAGGCCTGAATCTGTGGGCGAGCGTGATGATGAGTGGTTGTTGTTTGATCCTCCGGAGTTGCTGGGACCTGTCGGAGGCGGCGCCGATGAGTCGAATGTGTTCATTATGGCGTGCTTGCCCTCCTGATATGTGACTGGAGAATATTGTCCAATCCGAGGGTCGCCCGGGACCAAGTTTATGCAGGTCTGAAGCGCCGGGTCCTTTTATCTTAACAGAGGACGAAAAGAGACAAGATTTTCACGGCGATGGAAAACTATTCAGTAGCTGAGTCTGGTAAGTTGAAGCCTTGCTATCTGCATTTCTTTGACTGTTCCTCCTCTCAGGGTGCTATGGCCATCATGTGGCATATAATGTGACCTCGAGCAAAAGCGTGAAACAAAGTGATGATCCCAGTCACCTGACCAATCCGGGGAAGCGATCACATGCTCCACTCTAACCCACTTGGGCCAAGTGTTGATCCGAACTGTCACTGCAACCTATAAAGCTTGACATGTTGATATGGGCGACTAATGTAGATCTTCTGCTTATAGCCAGAGTTATCTGCTTTAATCTGCACATATAATTTGACAAACTCACACCTCATTGTCTTCCACTTCACCAAATTGCGTCATACTCTATTTAAGGCAGGCGGTCAGTCCTGTTAAGCTCAATATCAACTTATCCGACTTATTTCCTTCCAAAGTTCCCCTCACTTAACCAGCAGAATGGCATCGCAAGAATCTTTACCATCTCCTACGGGGAAGGTAGATCTTTCTAAAAAATTGTCTGCCTTGCGGTCAAATACCCGCAGGTCAAACCCCAATTCCCGAGACTTAACTCCAACAACCCCTCCTCTCCCTTCGCCGCCGGACCTCTCCGCCCACCAGTACCGTCAGCCAATCCGCCGCATCCTATCCCCAAAAGACCATGAACTCTTCCTCTCATCGCCGACCTACAACCTTGTCCTCGCCTTTGTGTTTGGCCTAACTGACTCTGTGCGGGGGCATTCCATCAACGACCTCCAAAAAAAACCTCAATCCGAATCCATCTCCAAGGTCCTCTCAGTCGTCACTCAGATACGCTCCCTCTTAGCCAAAAACCCGCCAATCGACCAGGGTGGATCCCGCTTCGGCAACCCGGCCTTCCGGGCACTGTGCGACGATGTAAGCGCCCAGAGCACATCATGGCACACTAACATTCTCGGGTTGAAAGATGCGGGCGCAACCGAAGAAGCCTCGACATATCTAATCAACTGCCTAGGCTCACGAGAGCGGATTGACTACGGCTCCGGACACGAACTAAACTTCATGATGTGGCTGTTGTGTCTGTATCAGCTTGGTCTTCTCCCCGCTAGCGACTTCCCTGCTGTCGTGGTCAAGGTCTATGTCGAGTATATGCATCTCATGCGGGAGATCCAGTCAGCCTACTACCTTGAGCCTGCTGGATCGCACGGTGTCTGGGGTCTGGATGACTACCATTTCTTACCGTTCTTGTTCGGAGCTAGTCAGCTTGTCGGGCACCCATATATCACTCCCTTGGGTATCCACAATACTGCCACTTTGGATGAAGAGGGTGATAAATATCTCTACCTGGATCAGGTCCGGTGGGTTGATAGTGTCAAGACTGTGAAGGGACTTCGCTGGCATAGCCCTATGCTGGACGATATCTCTGGTTCTAAGAATTGGACCAAGGTTGAGAGCGGCATGAAGAAAATGTTTGTTAAGGAGGTGCTTGGGAAGCTTCCTATTATGCAACATTTCCTGTTCGGAAGTCTTCTGCCTGCTGCTGAAGGCATGACCGATCCGTCGGAGGGGGGTGCTGAGAATGATGGTCATGACCATGCCCACGGCCATGACCATCCTCATGATAGTGCAGACTGGTTCGGCGATTGCTGCGGTATCAAGGTACCCAGTACTGTGGCTGCGGGCGCCGAGATGCGTAAACGTATGGGAGGATCTAATCTGCGCCCAATTCCTTTTGATTAATATCGGCGATGTTTGGGACATTCCAACAAAATAATGAATCAACATGACTAGCATATTAGACAATGTCAAACCCGACAATCTGTTTATTCTCCTATACTTACTGACAGTGCCTGTGCTCTTTGCCGGTCCCTGGGCCGCGAACAGAGGTGTGTAATGTACGTACTTTATATACGATGGTGATTCCAGTTTCGTTAAGGTCCAGTGAAGTGTTGTCGATTTCAATCTGTGATATCACTATGTACATATTCAACACATCATACCACACCAGCTCATATCTCTTTCCACGGTGTGTCACTCCCAGAAATCCACTACCGCCAGGTTGTACTTTCAGTGACTGCAGTTCCAGAGCAGCCTGCTGGTACAGTATAGCTCCGGTTAGGGTCACTTTCCCAGGTAATTTTACCGTCCGCTCCTTTCTTGAAGAACTTGTACGTAAAGGTAGTACCAACAGGGAGATTAACACTGGCAGTCCACAGTGGGTTAGACGATGTGTATGAGCCTGCTGACAGTGGGATAGCCGACGAGGTAGACCAGGAGCCCAGCTGGCTGATTGACCCAGTGAGGAAGATATTCTGGCCCACTGACGTGGTTACCAACTCGTTGAAAGTTACCGAGACGCTGCTGGCAGGAGTAGCACATGCTCCGGTAGTTGTTGTCTTACTTGTCGTAGTGGTCAAAGTCGTACCGCTGGTGGTAGTCGATCCTCCCCCGGAACCCCCGATAGAAATATCAGCACAGTTAAGATAAGCCTGGCCTGTCTGGAAAGAGTTCCATCGGAAGCGCAGCAGAGTGTGTGCTGAATTGTAGTCTGGGATCTTGATTCTCTTCGTAACAGTATAGCCACCAGCAATAGTTGTCTTGCAGGAGTTCAATGGCGCACCGTCCACGCCCTGGCAGCCGCGTCGGTTGCTGGCACCGAATGCATTGCAGGTAAACCAGTCATTGCGCCAGCATAGCTGTCCGGGAGAGCAGTCCGGACTGTAGCCACAGTCCTGTCCAGGAACGTCTGTACATTTCAATTCACCCTTCAGGAAACAGTCTTCTGCAGCTTGTTTCTCGGCATTGGTTGGAAGATAGTTTGGATCAAGGAATTTGTCGACCAGGGCCTGGTCCTGGCAGATACCGTAGGTAAACATGCCACCATGGTCTCCATTGTTGTCGACACACCACTGCACTTCCACAATCTGGTTCGCAGTGTATTTGGCGACCACGTTGCCCCAGTGAGCGGCGGGCTGGTTATAATCAACACTAACCCGGGCATTGTAACCACATGGTCCACTACGGCCAACTTGGGGTCCTTCTAGGTCAGGCCAAGGAGAGACTGGTTCAAGGATGGAGCATTCAGGACAGGTATCAATGCCAGCCTAACAAAGTCAGTCTGGTATATTGCATCCATGAATCCATCTGAGGGCTTACCTCGAATCCAAGCCGAGTACGACTTGAAGGAATGGTCAGGTATCCATGGGCGTTGACTAAGGACAGAAGACCTGCCAGACTTAGAATAGAGGAACCCTTCATCTTAGGTGTATTTTCTCAAAAATAAGCTGCTGGCTCTTGAAATCAAACGAAACATTGCCCTTTTATATATGTATTTCCCATAATTGCTATTTGACTGTATCAACCATTCACATCATGATCCTACCCTTCCGTCGTCGGCTTGAATGTCTGGACATGTAGGCTTTGTCTTGTCTTCACAGCCAAATTTCCTTTTGTAGCATGTAGTCCGATAATTGCCCGACAGCCGCTAGACAAAGGGATGCAGCATCGCATTTTAGTCGAATTGTGAGAAAAAAAGCCGATAAATTCCCGTTTCCCTCTTATATACTAACAGATCCAGGCGACTGCGGCGTTTGGAATTTCCGTATCTTCAGGACATCGCGCCTACTAGGGTGATATACTCAACTTGCAAAACAAAAAGATTGTACTTGCACAAGGTAAATGACCTGACCAAGTGTAGCAAACAACCTATTTATCCACTTCTGCTTACTTCCAAGACCCCACCATTTCTAGGTGACACTCCCCACATCTCACTTCCCCGCCACAATTTATTATGCTTCTTCATCATCGTGGGCCCTGTTTATGAGTGGCGCCCAGTTGCGCCATAGGCGTCAGCCTATACTAGTCACATTACATGTGCCTAGTGCCAGTTGGGGATATCTCCGTGATTCAACTACGCCACCGTAATTGTTCGTGAACAGTGGGTTATACAGAATTAGTAGCTTTGGGGTGAATAAAAGCACTATCTATGCCGATAGATCATCGATATATTGTGTGATATAACCCAACATAGTAATACAAGATATTGAGCATGTTCAAGGAGGTAAAACAGAATGGAAAGGCCAAAAAGAGGGAGAAATCCACTGCATAAGTACATAAGTACCTTTAAGAGTGTCGTTACTATGCCGAGACTTCCTATCTGAGTTGCCACTTCTATCAGGGTCTCAGAGTCAGGTTCAATAAAGGTCGTTCTATGAATATTCAATACTATACTCCATACATTAGGTGTAACCACAGTGCTAGCCCATTTCAACACGGACATGGCTCTTTTTTTTTTCCAAATCTTCCGCTAGCACAGAAACTCGGATTTCACATTCATCATCCACAATATACCCAGGGCAGAAATCATCAATTTTGTCCCAAGAGAGACTCATGTCATCACTATCACACATCATCTTCCAACGGTCCCACAACGCACGGGTCGAACACTTCATCCATCCAGGGAAGTCGTCAAGTTCTTCCAAATCCGGCTACGCCTCTACAACCTTCACATACCGTATGGTACAATCTCGATGGTACTCTGTTTCCTGCTCTAAAGCCTCTGCCGATGTATTCAGTAGCGTCTGGAGGCATTCCTCATCAATGACAATACACATTCGATATTTGTTGAATTTATCACCCTGGCCCTGTGCATCTACTCGACCAAGGGGCTAGGATAGATTGCACATGTAAAGATGGATGGACACCATTGCATGGTGCTACATCGGCGGGACAAACACAGGCTGTTTTAGTGCTGCTTCTACCTCTGGTTTATTACAATGCACAACACAGCGAAGGAAAGACAATTGTAGATAGTGCAGGTGGTTTTGATTTCCAGACTGAAATTGGTCGTACACCTCTTCATCTTGCGTGCCAGGGTGGTCATGTCGATACCGTTGAAGTACTGCTTGCTCCCCGTGGGAAGGTCATTATTGCTGATGAGGCCGGAAATTTGCCAGTGCATATTACTTCATGCGAGAGGAATGTGGGAGTCATGAAATGTCTTCTGCGGGAGGAAGATGACAGAGGTTCGCAGCTAGCATACCAAAATGAGAGAGGGTGGACGACTTTAGAAGACGCTCAGTTGAATGGGACATACGAGGCTAAGTAATTAATATGAAAAATTAGTGGCAGAATGACACTCGATTCTAATGTCGAGGAAGAAGAATTGATCAATGCGATCTGGACGGACGATGTTCACAAGCTGACAAGTCTACTTAGTCTTACCGCTGAAGAGGATACCAGTCGGGAACGTAGGAAAGGTTTGGAAATGAAGAATCAAGGAGGTCGTACACCTCTCTAACAATCGCTGCTTTTCGGCTCGCTCAACGTGGCCGGCGCACTCCTCTCGTATGGGGCCGATATCCACGCGAGATCCGATCCGGGACAGTGGATTGCCCTTCACTACGCAGCAATGCTACTTGACGACAGTGCCGTTGTTCTATGTTTATCGTACAGGGCAGAGCTGAATGCTCGCACATAACAAAATCAGACGCCTCTTCATCATGCCTGCCGACGTGGTGCAGAGGGCCCTGCGAGAATGTTGCTTGGGAAAGGGGCAGATTTTGAAGCTACAGATGATCGAGAGTGGAGGGCAATACATGTTGCTGCTGCTGGGGGGGAATCTAAATGTTATTGTGATGCTATTGGAGCACGGAGATAGTGGCAAAGCGACGAGAGATGGGCAATCAATTCAAGGATGTGCTGCAGAGAGGGATCACCATGGTTTAGTAGAAATGTTTCGGAAGGTGAGATATTATTGGCTGGCATCTGAAGGGGACTATCGTGTTTCTAGGGCAGAAAGAGGGAAAAGAATTATTGTTAATTTATACCCTGCTTATACCCTGCTTCTAACAAACTAGCTTGACAAATAAGGACATTGATACAGACTGATGCGATCAATCTGTTCAGCTCAAATGACATGCTAACCTTGGGCCACAGGAACTACCCCAATTGGTAAACTTTGAGTAAAAACCAATCATCTAGCCAGTCAGGAAGACACAAATGTCACATCAGGATATGCTACAGAAGGGCCGCTCAGCAATTTCGACTTGTGCCCATGAACAAAGTACTGCAGTGTAGCAACGGTGTATGAAGTAATCACATCCTTAGCCCGCAAACCACCTATCGTCCCAGTCCCATTGCTCTGAGCCTGAATAATTTGTCGAACTTCATCTGAAATACCTAGAGTATCAACAAGCACTGGAAAGTCAGAAAACGTATAGTGTTTAGACTGTGCGAGTTGTAGCTCCAGTTTCCATCCTCGTAAATGTGACGAAAAAGTTGCCCAACTGGAATCTGTTGCAGAGGTGTGGTTTGCGTTACCAAAAAGCAGGAACGGGGTCGAAAGTCCTTTGTCCACGACAGACCCCCATAGTTGACCATCTAGATTGATACCCCCGACAAACCGATTATCAACTAGTATTGTCTGCGCTGCTGTTGCTCCACCGAGGGAATGACCAAGGATAGTTACTCGATCAAGAGAGAGTAGATGCGGGTTTCCCTGTGACAAAGGGAATAGGTTTCTGATCACTTTTTCGTCGTGCATTTGATCAAGTAAAAATGACATGTCCTTGACACGTACTTCCAGTGCTGAAACAAATTCTGTTGGGGTACTGATGTTTGCGAGTATTCCGGGAACAGTGCGGCCATCGGGATATTCCACGATGTCGGCATCATACGGGTGGTCGACGGAGACAACAGCAAATCCGTTGCTGGCAATTTCTTGAAGCAGCAATGTGTACATCAATCTTGAGATTCCCACTGCCGGAGAAAAAAGCACTACTGGATAATCTCCGTGAAGTCTGAAAGGCGGTGGCCGCTGCTGTCTCTGAGTCTGGATATGAAGTGACTCGAACGTTCCTGGAGGTAGTCCAAAAGATTGGAAAATCCCATCTTCCAACTTGGCTGTTGCATTCGGGACGTAAGATGTAGATAGTACACTTCCGCAATTGACGGGTGTAAAGGTGGTAACCATGATAGAACGTTTACCTCCTTTTGGGTCGTTGGGATCGGTTCGAGACATGTCAACTAGTTCAGTTGCATGAAGCGTGACATCGCATGGTCCGGTGCTTGAAGGGAGAGGGACAATTACTGTTTGCCCGAGACTGATGAGAAGAAAACTAATTGAGAGTAGGATTGTCCGAATCATTTTGGCGGCTCTCTGATGATGAAAATGAAAAGTTACGTATTATAAAATGGAATTATCAGCGAAGCCCAGCGGCAACCATCTTATATATACTAGTATTAGTTACCGCATGGTATGTACCCATAGAGTAGTGTGAAACATTTTTCTCTGATTATACTAGACACTAGATTGCTTATGAGGCATTTAAAGGCATTTGCGGTATTTCCAGCTATTGACCTATATTATGGGGCTATATGTTCGAAGATTCATCGATTAGGAATGTAGGACCTAGAGAGACCGACGATGATGAAAACTGTGCGCCCCGTTATTCGTGACCGGGCAACCAAGAGCCATTTTTCGACGCCGGGCCGTGTAATGTAACCTCCGAAGGGGTGAGCAGAGCGGGACATACGGCATCGAAGGAATATCGGCACGTTATAGATACGGAGGCCGGGGGGCCTTAGACTAAAGCAAAAGTACCGACACGAAATAGCCTGGATACCGCTGTGGCCTGAATCACCCTAGTGGTTCAGCTCCTAGTTAGATGATATGCATTACAAACTCAGTATCGGATCGAGCAGCATCGCTATTATGAAAGGGCTAGTGCGTCAGGCTATAAGCAGAGGCACAATCGTCGGTGGGGTTGGGAAGAGTAGCGACTGGAAGAAAAGAGGAACCCAAACCCTATTGGGGTGGGTTTTGGGTCGGAGGCTCCGACTCAAGATGGGTTCTACCGAAGTCTACTAGCGGAGTATATGATTATAGCGCTTAATACTCTATATAAGATAGTAATAGTAGACAGAATAGAATAAGAAGAAGGGCCGCTCTAGTAGTTTAGATAATATCTCTATAGGTTTAGTTAGCTACTAGAACAGTATTAAATCCTATTAGCCTTCATAATAATGACAGCCCTAAGGTCATTGAAATTGACTAAGTAGGTATAATTTTCTTTTCCCCTTTTATATATCCTACCTAAATACCCTCCCTAGTCGTATAGGGCCTATATACGATGCCTAAGCAAAACTTATATCTTTACGTGGTGTTCAGGAGAAGTAGCCTTAATGGTGAAACCAAGCGAGTTGCGAAGGTAGATAATCACACGGGAAATAACTATTGTATAATGAGGTCTATTAGC